ACCAGTCATCTTGTCTTTTGTCCTGCCACTGGACTTCAATGACTCTAGAATAAAGAGTGAGGCTGCAGACTTTGTGCAGCTCTGCCTCACTTAAATCCAGTTTGTGTGCAAATCAAGACATCGTCTTCCTCTTTGAAAACAAAGGGTGAACAACAACAGATTCTCTCTCTCTCTTAGTGTCTGTTACCATCCCTTTCCAGATTACCCTTAGCTCTATGTATCTGGTCCTAATCTCTTTCTTGAACTTCAGGTCCACAGTACCAGTTGCCTTCTGGAAGGAATCTTTACCTGGACATCCCATAAATTTCTCAGATTTAGTATATCTAAAGTGGACCTTGTTCTCTTTCACCAGCCCTTCTCCAGGTTTTCCTGTTGATGGTGAAGGCCCCATCAATCCTTCTGGTCACCTAGGTTCACAACTTTAGAGTCATTCTCAATGCTGCTTCCTCACTTACCCTTGTCCTCCAATCTCATAAATTGCCAAGTTTTATCAAGTCTCCTTTAACAGCTGTCCCTTTTCTTTTCACTCACTGCGCTATGGTTCTAGTTAATACCCTCATCACCTTTCACCAAGACTGTTAGAAGAGAATCTTAACTGGTCACTCTTCTTCCTTCTTCCCTTTCCTCTAATCTATCCACCATATAGTCTCCAAATTAATATTCCCAAGGCGAGGTTTGACCTTGGCACTCTTCTGCTGAAAAGTCTTCTTAAATAAAATAAAAATCTTCTTAAATAAAAGACAGACTACTACAGCCCTCCATGATATAGCTCCATTTACCTTTATGGGTAATACAGATGGCCCCCTTTCACAAACTCCACGTTCCAGCCACACTGGCCCACTAGGTATTCCTCAAAGTAAATATTCCACTTCCAGTTTCTTTGCCTTTGCCCCGACCATCTTCCATGCCCACAATATATTCCCCTCCTTTATCTTATCCCTTAGAATTCCGTGCTTCCTTCAAGATTTAACTCAGGTTACTTCCTAAAGGAAGTTTTTCCTGATTCCCCCAATCATTTGTGCTTCCCTCTCCTTAAATTATCTGGTATTTACTTATCCGTGTCCATGTGGTTTCCCTGCAATGCAATATATGTTCCTGGAAGGCAGGGACTGTTTCTTTTTCTTCTTCTTTGTTATTTCTAGTACCTACTATGTGCCTTCCAGATAGTCGTCATTTAATTAATCTGTTCGATTCAATTGGAGCCAAGACTGGAGGATTTAAGGAAAATGGTTTAGAACTATGGAGGAGGGTGGAGTTTTGTATAGATCGGGGGATAGATAAGGCCAGAAAAGGCAACATGTGTGGAAGAAACAAATAGTAAGTTTTTTTGGCCAAATCAGAGAGTTGTTACCATAGGAGTGAAGGATGATGAGAAGAGAATGTAAGGATGCAGCATGTAACGGTGCAAAGAGTCAGAGGACCAGGGTTCAAATCCTACCTCTTCTACTCACTACCTAGGGAATCTAGGCACTTCCCTGTGCCTCAGTTTCCTTATCTGTAAAATGAGAGGGTTTCACTAGATGACCTCTGAGGTCCTTTTCAATTCTAGAGATATGGTTCTATGATTCTATGATAGGATCTTGAAATCATACTGAAATTTAGGTCCCCTCACCCGTCTTGGGGACTCATCAAACCTAGGGTCCTCATTCTGAATCCTTTCTAGATCTCTATGGCACTACTTGCCTGTGGTGGAGAGAGGATGGTAGAAGAGAGGGGAAGGAATACTTTTGGGGCCCTTCCCCCAAAGCTACCTCCCCAGCCTTGATCAACTGCCCTAACTTAGAGTGAAGAAGATGGCTGTCTTTTGGGCCAATTGACTGATATCTACTAGGGAGGCAGGATGTGATGGTGGGAAAAGCATTTCTGGGGTCAAACAACCTTGGTTCATGTTCCACCTTTGATGCTTAGTACTTGTGTGACCTTCAAATCACTCCTCATCTGCAAAATACAGGGGTTGGACTAGATGATGTCAGGTCCCTTTCAGCTCTAAATTTATGAGACTAGTGGAGCCAAGGCATGGGAGTGAGCATCTGATTTTCACAGCTGGGTTAGGGGGCAAGATGAGATGATTTCTAAGGTACTTTACAGTGGCCATCCTGAATGATAGGAGACTCCAGGGGTATGACCTGTACAGAGAAAAAGAGAAGGCAAAGTATATAGAAACCTGTCCAACCAACCAGATTCCTATAAGCTGTTGGGACTGGCCACTTAGCTTGGCTCTTCTGTTTTCTTCCTGAAACCAGGCATGATTGTGTGTGTGTGTGTGTGTGTGTGTGTGTGTATTTGTCTGTTGATGACAGGGAAGTAGCAATTAGGTTTGAATAAAACCTGCCATTCCCCAGAGACTACTCAACCATTTGCTCATCAATAATCACCTCCGAGACAGCTCACAAAGAAATGGGTCTAGCACAGGAACCACAGAACCTTCCTTGCATCCCTAGGCTAGTGGATACCAGCTGATCAGGTGAAGGGAGGAACCTATGAGAGACTCAGTGTCCAGCCTGGCACCAGTAGTGGCACCATGTCCTGCCAAGCACTCAGCTGCCATGTAGAAAGTCTTGCCTGGGGTCAGAGAGGGGAGGATAATTCCTAAAGTATTTTAATTCCTTTTCTCACCCACTTTATGAGCAAAGTTCATTTGGAATTTCCCCAAAGGGGCAAGTGGTTTGAGTTGTATCCTAATCCCAGCTTTGGCATGGAGGGTGAGAGGGGAATTGTGGTGGGAGAAGCAGAAGTGCAAGAGAGAGGGATAAGGGCTGGGCAGAGCAACCTAGGTTCTCAGTTGCACAGTATAATTGGAAGCTCTGATTTGGGAAACAGAAGACCTGGGTTCTAGCATCACTTCCGCCATTAACTAGCAGATATGGCCTTGGGCAGATCATTTCTCTCACTTCCCTTTTGTGAGACACCATTTTTTTTTTCATCTGTAAAACAGTATTGGACTAAATCTTTCTCCAAAGTCTGTTTTAATTTCAGCATCCTCTAATGTTCTGGAGACATAGAAGCTGTGACTCTGGACACACAGTCCCTGAAATTGGGTTCTTACAGCTGAAAAGAACCTTAGACATCATCCTCAAACCCCTTTGGGAAATATGGGAAAACCGTCCTCCTTCCTTGCCTTCTCCTACTCACTTCTGCCCCAGCTTTTCAGCCTCTTTTTATGTATTGTTGTCATCCATTAGATTGAGAGCAAGGGATTTTCTTTTCCTTTCTTTGTGTCCCCATCACTTAACTTAGTGCCTGGCACATAGTAGGTGCTTAATAAATGTTTTTTGACTATTGGCCCCAGTGCCTTGGCTGTATTAGACATCAGACAACAGGTCTAAAAGAAAGCACCCCCAATCCCTCTAGTCCAATTATGTTGGGTCTCCTGCATCATAGGAACCTAGATCTAGAACTCAAATGGACCTGAGAGGTTTAGTCCAACCCTCTCGCTTTAGAAACGAGGGCCTAAAGCTCAAAAAGTAACTTGCCCAAGGTTGTACAGAGAAGGGGAGGGGAGGAGCTAGGATTTGAACTTGGGTCTGGTAATGCCAGGTCCCATTCTCCCAAGGTAGATGCTCTTCCCACTACTCCATGCTGTCTCTTTGTGGAGCCAGGAAATCTTTGACTATTTTCCACAGTCCCAGCATATACTCAGGGCTCCGTTCTTACAATGAGGGCTGTGGGAGGAAGTAGCCAGAGAGGGGCAGGAAAGAGAAGGAGAGAAAATGGGGAAAGGGACACAGCACAGATTCTTCAAACTCTGAGGCCTCTTTTAACTTCAACATCTTCATTCCTGTCGTGTAGCTTTGGACAGAACCTGGTCCTCCCTGCTTCCCATGTGCTCTACTATACACACACTCCTAGTAATGACTATTAACATAGCGCTTTTATGGTCACAAAATGTTCTCAGGAATATTGCCTTATGTAGTCCTCACAACTTCATGAGGGAGGGCATGTGAAGTATAATTATCCCCATTTTACAGATGAGGAAGGTGAAGCTCAAAAATTAAAATGACTTGCCCCAAATCTCCCAACTAAAAGGGTAAAATCAAGCCAGCATTTGATTTCAGGTCTTCTGATTCTAGGTAGTCAATACCTTAAGAGACAGTGATTTCACTGGTTTCCTCCCCCACCTCCCCCCCAAAAAAACCATGCCTTATTAGATGATTTCGTGAGCTGCCAAGGCTGAAAATTCCATCACCTAGTGGTCAAGGTCCTGATTATAAGCATCTCACAACTTAGCTTAGGTAGTCCTTGTATCACAGACTCTTTTGAGCCCTTCTTCTCAAAGCTTTTCTAACTTAATGTAAGAGCTACCCTAACTTTCAGTCCATTGGCATTGCCTTAAAAACCCAGGGTCACCCCCGTGGATGGATAAAAAGGGCTATGGTACCATGTCATGGGTCAAAGCTTGTATGGGTCACTTAATCTCTTTGGACCTCAGGCTTCTCATTTGTAGAATGAAGGGTTTGGATTTGTTGGCTTTTGAGGTTTCTTTCCATTCTAGATCTATGACCCCATTATTCTCATTGACTGGTTAAGTGATGGATTAAGTGCAGGGGTGGGATAATACTAGGCTCTGGGCTTTGAAAAATCATGAAATTTTAGATATAGGCTGGGGTTCCAAGTTTGAGTCTTTTATTACTCTCACTAAAAACAATACCCTTAGTTCTTGGGTGAGTGGGGAGAGACACAGAGTGGGGATGGGGGTGGGTGAGGATGAAGGGGGGGGTAAGATGGAGACTTAAAGGCCTGAGTTGGAGACACTGTTTTTGTGGGAGGAGAGGGGCTGGTGTAAAGGACCAGATCATGAAGAAAAGCCTCAAGAATACCACCTTTCCAAAGGCCTAAACAATTGTGGGCAAGGCCCTTTATTGAGGCTATGTTTCCCAAAGCCAAAGGAGGCTGAGTTGGTAGTAAGACAGGAACGTGATCCCATCCTGCGCAGGAAGGTCTGAGAATGTGGGCCACCACTCCTAAGCATCCTCCATTGAGCCAGGGCCTCTATCCCATAGGTGTGAATGAGGTGGACTATAGCCTCTACCCCAGCCGGGAGACTCAACTTCGTTGGCTGAATTATTACCTGCAAGCCCACAAGCAGCTCTGCAAGGAAGGCTGGGGTGGGACAGCTGTGACGCCCAGGGAGGTGGAGAAGCTCTACGTACAAGTTAACAAGTTTGCTCTGGTGAGAGTCTACACCTTGGAGAGAAAGTAGGAAGCACTGGTCCCTGAGATTGACCACAAGTGTTATGGGAAACCTGGAAGGGGGGGGGGGGGGGGTGGGGTGAGAGAAAACTGGCCTAAAAGAAATGAGGTGGTAGATCTGGAACTCCCTAAACCTTGTCTAAGCTCTTCACCAAATGAAAAATTTGTAGCTGCTTCAGTATGGAAAGTCATCAGGTCTATATGCCTCTGCCTTTGGACAGCCCTGTTCCCACCTCATCTCCAAGAAGTCAGGTTGTCTCATTCCTTGGGAAAGTCTTCTGGGGAAGGAGATTCCTCAACAACATTCTTGACTGCTGTTTTTAGGGAGGCCCTTGGGCAACCAGAAACATCATGCTATCCACAGAAGGCAGGATTATTAGAACCAATGGGTCGAAGTTGCCAGGGCATGGATATCAGACTGGAGGGCCTGGGTCTGAATCCTGAGCCATCCCAGCTGAGCAATAGCTGTAGCACGTACCCTCAGGAGGTACCTGCTCTCTACATGTGGGGGAGGGAACCTAGTATAGCCTGAGCTAGCCACTGTCCCTGGGGGATCACAGGATTTAGAACTGGAAAGGGCCTTTGAGATTTTACCCTCTCATTTTATAAATGAGAACTTAGATCGAGCAAAGTGAAATGAGTGAATAGCAGAGCTAGGATTTGAATCCAGGTCCTCTGACCCTAAATTTGCTATCTTTCCATTACACAGTCCTACCTGTCATCAGGAGAAATTTACCAGGCCTGAGCCGAAAAGACCTCAGGCCCAAACTGTTTGCTTCTCCCAGTCTGACTATGAGTCAGCCTTTGGTGTTTGTCTTTGGTTCTAAAGGGTGGGATGGGGGGGGAGGGGAGAAGGGGAGAAGGAACCACTCTGACCCTCTCTGATCCTTTCCCAGGCCTCTCACCTCTTGTGGGCATTCTGGGCTCTCATCCAGAACCAGTTCTCTACCATCGACTTTGACTTCCTTAGGTGAGTGGGCCAGGAACAAAAAGAGGTAGGGAGGAAGAAAGATGAGAAGAAAGGGTGTAGTAGGAGGGAAAGTCCCCTGACCCAGGAGGGGTTGAACCAAGGGGCATCCATTCAGGAAGTGGTGACCTAATGGGCCACCTACTTGCCATCTTGCCCCTTCCCTATCCAAATCTTTGGCCTCTGTTTCTCCATTTGTAAAATAAAGTTGCCCTTCTGAACTCTGGGAAGACCTTAGGGGAGTGAGCCAATTGAGTTGGAACAATGCTGACCTCCTCTATAATCCTCGGCTCCCCCCTCCTCTCCAGCCCCAATGTTATTCCTAAGAACCACCTAAGTCTTGGCAGGGAGTTCCCTGGCCAGCTCCCAAGCTAGTGAACAGAATCTTAGCATGGCAGCGTTTCAGATCTCAAGGGAGCTTGACTGATTATGAAAGATCCTAGAGAAACTGAGGCCCTGAGAAAAGGGGAGTGACTTGCCCAAGATCACACAGTTAGTAAATAGCAGAGCCAAGATTCTAACTCAAGTAAGTTAACTTCAGATCCAGGACATTTCCATGCTGTTTCTTACAGAAGCTATTCATGGTCCTCTAATTCATTCCAAGGATTTAACCCGGCTATCCTGAAACCCTGGCCATGTGCTTTTCCCATTGTATGACAGTGCTTCTTTGCAATGAGACTGTGAACCCTACCTTATCTCTCGAAACTCTAGGAGTTGTAGAATGGAGGTTAACAATCGCAGAGCTGCCATTTACCAGCTAAGTGGCCTTGGCTAAGTCGTGTCACAAGCTCATCGATTTAGGGCTGAAAAGGGGGCATTAGAGGATGTTAATCCAAGCCCTCACTGAGAAAGCTGAGACCCAAGCAGGTTGTGACTTAACCCAAGGCCACATAAGTGGTAAGTGGAGATGAGAGAAACTCTGAACCCAGGTTCTCTTTCCTCCGTGTCATGCTGTCCCTTGATCTCTCTGGGCCTCAGTTCTGATTTATAAAATAAAGAAGGATGTGCCGGATGATCTCTAAAGGTCTAAATTAACTTAAGTACATCCCAGTGCTCAAATAAGTGCTCAAATCAGCCTCCATCCATTTGAGGTTCAGAGGCAGGGTTTCCTCTACCCTCTTCCTGTATTTCCTCTCAACCCTGCCCATCCTTAGCTTGTGATGGAGGGAGGGAGGGAGAAGAGGAAGAGGAAATGCTGCCAGGACCCAGAGTATGGGTAGTCAGGCTAGACCACTCCCAAGGGAACAGTACTCGAGGGAGGTTGTAGGAAAAGTGGAACTCTTTTTAACAGATTTTCTTTTATACATACATATGTATATACAGTGTACATACATATACACCTGCCCACACATATACATACATAGGTATATATACACATATGTATATACACATGTATAGAGATATGTATATGTATATATGTACATGTATGTATATGTATGGGTGTGTATCTATCTCAGGTGGCACAGTAGATAGAGTGCCAGGCCTGGAGTCAGGAAGACTCATCTTCCTGAGTTTAAATCTGGCCTCGGACACTTCCTAGCTGTGTGACCCTGGGCAAGTTACTTCACCGTGTTTGCCTTAGTTTCCTCATCTGTAAAATGAGCTGGAGAAGGAAATGGCAAATCACTCCAGTATCTCTGCCAAAAAAACCCCAAATGGGGTCACGAAGAATCAGACATTACTGAAAATGACAAAACAAAATAGTTGATGTATATGTGTATATATATGTATGTATATATATATATATATATCACCCTATCTATATATCTCACTATCTTAATGTTTAATAATTCTGCTCTGGGTGTCCGTTCTGGGTGTATATTCTCATACGTCAGCTTGGTTGTGTTATTAAAGTCTAAGGGGTGTGTGTGTGTGTGTGTTGGTGATGGCTGCAAGTATCCTCTGGGCAGCGCACACAAGGGGGCGCCATTTTCAAACCTTGATCAGTCTCTGGTCCCAGCCCCATAGCTTCCATTTGCCGTAAGATAGAGTGGGAAGGAACTGCCTCTCTTTTTATTTGTAGATAAGAGCTCAGGCCTCAGAGAGGACAAGTGACTAGCCTAGGATCCCAGAAGCCTGTATCAGAGGCAGGATTTGAACCCAGGGCCTCTGACCCCAAACCCAGAGCTCTGGGGACTTCAGGGGTTTCTCTGAAAGGGGCACTGAGAAATGAAAGACTAGTAGCTTCAGTAAGACTTGTTTTTACTTCTCTTGGAAAACCATTTGGAAAAACATACATTGCCCTCCTGACTTACTCCATGAACCTAGGGATCATGTGTTTCAGGGTTTATAAAATTCTTTCTTCACAACCCCAAGAGGGAGGTGGTACTTGCATTATTGTTTCCATTTTACAGATGAGGAAACTGAGGATCACATGAAATGATTTGCTCGAGTATTTGTATCCCCAAGGACTTATTTATGTCCCCAGGACATAGGAAAGTGCCTGGCACATAGTAAGCATTTAATAAATGCTTTAATTAACTAGTAAATTTCAGAGTTGGGATTCGAACCTTCCTTCTACCGATTCCAAGTCCAGAGCTCTTAAGACTGTGCTAAGCTACCTGACACCCTCCCTAAGCTTACCCCACCTTGTAGTGCTAAGCCATAGACTGGAGTTGACAATTGCAAAATGATGCTGTTTTAATCAAACCTCTGATAATGAAGGAATGTTCATGGTAACATGAGGACCCATGATTCTGGGATCCCCTTGATTTCCTCCCTGATACTGGTCCCTGCTCCCTGTCTCCTGGCAGATATGCGGTGATCAGATTCAACCAATACTTCAAGGTGAAGCCTCAGGTGTCAGCCTTGGAGATGCCAAAGTGACCGGCCTCCTGCCCTGTCCGCCCAGCCAGACTTGCTCTCCTCAGGGCCCCTGCTTGGCTCTGGGGCCCATGACTAAAGGGCCAGAGCAAGAGAGGGATGCAGGTGGGGTCTCTCCGGTGGGGCAGTGAAGCCCATGCCCTGTGCCGCCGGCCCCAAATTAAAGCCGCCGTAGACCTCGCTCCCCCCCCCCCCCCCTCGCGTCTCCGCCCCCGGGGCTGGTGGGACCAGCTCAGGGCACCCTTCCCCTTCACCCTCCCTTTCCCAAACTTGGTGGGGGGGAGGGGAGTGCCTGCAGAGTACCAGGGATGACCAACCTTCTAGGACAGGGACCAAGGCAACCGATGGGAACCAGTGGGAAGCCCAGGAACCCTCCCAATATCACCCTACTCTCATGCCTCTTTGCCATCAGGGGTGCCTTATCTGTGTAATGGACCCTTCTCAGCTTGGGTAGAGCATCGAAAGGGCTCCTTTCCACCTCCAATGCCCGTAGATTTTCTAACTAACCCCCCCCCCCCCCTCTCCTATTTTTCCCAAGCAGAAAGTGATGAACTCCCTTTCCAGCAAGTAGCCCCACCCCAACACACCACGTGTACTGGTGTACATGGCTTGGATGAGTGGATCCAGGTTAGGAATGGCCCCCCATCAGCCTTAACGGATTCCCTGGCACTGCTTCCACTTTCACTTTCTCTAGGCCCCATTACTGGCTCCTAACCTCACCCCACCTCCAACCCAATTTCACTATTCCCCACTCAGGTCCTGGGGCCTGTGTTCTCTACCCTTTGGCCAGCTCCTGCTGCCTTGAGAAGGCCTAGTGACTAGAGTGCTGTCAACACACTTGGGATTGCCTGGGGGAATTATGGGGTGCTGTTAGCCAAAGCCTAGGTCAGTGGGTCTCACTGACCTTGATCCTTCCACCCACAGCCCCCCACCCCAAGATGCCTACCTAACCTTGTATTTCTCTTGCATACACTGGACCTGAATTAGAGGACTCTCTTACTCTGAGGGTCAGTCCTGGGCAGCAGGGAGAGAGGGGACATATCCCAAGAAGCAGAGGTCCCAGGAGAGCCAGGGAATGGGTGGGCCCCCTTGTTAGGACCTAGCCTGGACGTAGATAGGGATTGTCCTGACCTCCTGAGTTCCTTCACCAACCACCACTAGACCTTAGACGGCAATTAAATCTCTCCCCAGACTCCTTCCTGACCCCAGGGCTTCTTTGGGGTGGGGGGAACCCTTCTCAGCTCTGGCACATGAAACAAACTTTGAGATTCAAATTATTGTGGTTTTGTTCTCCATTAAAATGGCCACTTCTGGTTTCTGGTGCTGCTCACTCTTGGTCTGAGGGGTCATTTTGTTGGCATGGTTAGTTTGGGTCAGAGAAGGGCCATCATGGCTCTTGAGTTGTGGGGCTGCCAACTCAACTCACCTTTGGGTGGGGAGGGGAACACTGAGGGATACCTAAAAGTTTGGGGAATCATGAGTGCTGGTGGAGATCATGGCTTATTCTTATCATCAAAATATCATTTCACTCATCTATGCTGAGCCCAACCATCAGAGGGAAAGTCAAGCCAAGCCCTTATAGAACCAGTCTACCTCACTGGACTTACGTTGCTGGCAGAATGACTTAACCCACTCTACAGTGCTGAACCAGAGAGTGGAGTATCTCAGTTGACAAGGCTGGCTGCCATGAATATTTCATGTGGATTTGGTTAAATCTTTAATGGGGGAGGGAGAAGCCAGGCTTGATGCTGAGATCTAGGTGCATGATTAAAAATCTCAGAAGCTACAAGGAACTTGGAGATCATTCTGTCCAGTGGTTCTCAAAGCGCACAGGAGTGTGCTTGGGTTCTTCGGAGGCATGTCAGGAATTACACACACATGCATAAGTCTCCTGTAGCGTGCCAATCTGTTATAGTAAAAACCAATAATGGACTGTGAACACAAAAAGTGTGAGAACCATTAGTCTAATTGATAGGTGAGGATTGATACCTCCTCTATGGTATTGCTGGCAAGTGGTCGCTCAACTTTTTGTAATGGGAAACCTGATACCTCTGAGGCGGCCATTTCTGCTCTTGGCTATCCGAGAGAGAGCATTCCAAACTTCTGAGAGTTTGGAAATTTTTTCCTTACATGGAGTAAAACTCTGCCTCTTCACCACTTTCACGGATCATGCCCAGTTCTGTCTTCTGAGGCCAAGCAGAACAACTCTGATCCATCTGTGATGGAACAGGCCTTCAAGTGAAGATGACCATTGTATTCCGGAGTTTTCCCTAGGCCATAGCCTTAGTTTCTTCTTATGATGCTCCAGAATAGGATCTCAAAGCCTTCAACTACCCTTCTTCAACCCTCTTGAGCATTTTAGTGTCTTTCCTGAAAGACTGGTGGCCCTTCCACCAGGAAGGAAAGGGGCTCCCCCTGCAGCAGTGGAAATTGAGATGACATCTGGTGGCACTTCCAACCTGGCAGAAGGAGGAAGCCCTTGAGATGGGCAATCAGGGGATGGCAATGGTTGTCTGTCTCCCTTCTCAGAAGTGGCTCGCTTCCTCCTAGCTGTTCTGCCTGGTGACAGGGAGATGGACAGATGACCTCTGGATGGCCCTTCGGGCCCTGGAGTCCAGCCATCACTTTTTCTAGACACTTGGCTCCTCCTCCCTGAGGCCAGGAGGATAAGAGAGCTTGCAAGCTAAAGCAGGGGGCAGAGAAGCCTTCTCTCAGGGTGGCTCCCTTCCTACCGAGTTCTTGCCACCCTCCTCCACTGATGCTGCCCCCTTGGCCAAAAGTAGCTGCTTCTAGGACACCAGGAAGGTGCCACTCTCCCTCCCACCCCTTCCCCCAGGCAGCAGCAGCCACCTGTCTGGTGGACTCTGATTGTTTGGCTTCTTCATGTAAAAATACCAGGAGCACCATGGCAACTGCTGGTGACGTCACCCAGCAGCTGGGGCCTTCTTAAAGGTCACAGTGATTGGGGAGCAGCAGGACTCCAGTTCCCAAAAGGCAGCATTTCCTGGTACGAGCCCCAGCACTGAGGTCAAATAGATGCTTGTAGGGTCCGTAGGGGATTTAGATGAGCACCAAGGTGGTGCCAGAAATTCTCCCAATCCCTTACTTAGCCTGGCTGTGCCTTCCCCAGAACCAGTCAGTCAGATCCAAGCAGGCCATTAGTGGAGTGAGCATTGGCCTGGACATCCTTTTTCTCCAGGGCCTAGAAGCTATGCTGCTATCTCTGTTCCTACCAGAAGCCCACCTCCAACCACCTCCTACCTACTTCCAGCAGCTTCTCTTCCTGATTCCCAAGGGACCAACATTTCCAAGATAAGCAACATGGAGCAAGGGTTTGTGGTAGCAGCTAAGGCAAGTTTCCTCAGGATTACTCATCAAAGCCAAATACCACCTCCAGCAATGAAGGAGTTAACCATTTATGTAACTTGATGGACACTATTCCACTCCCTTCTTTGAGAGGGGAAAAGGAAAAAAAAAAGCATTCCTGGAATCAGCCTAGGAATCAGGCAGGTCCCAGGATGAGGGTACCCATTGGAGATGGAATGGATCCTACCCACCCAGTCTTGGAGCCTCATACCCTTTCATTCTATATCTCCCCCCACCCTCTACCCCCCACCAGTTTCTTCCTTCCAAATTAACCACATCCAGGTATAATAATAGCATTTATACAACTCTTGAAAACTTGCAAAACACTTTGAAAACATTGTCACAACAACCCCAGGAGAGGTAGAAGCTATTATTACCCCCATTTTTTACAGATGATGACACTGAGGCAGTCAGCCGTTAAGTGACTTCTTAGGATCACAGAGTGTCTACAGCTGGATTTGAACTCAGGTCTTCCTGGCTAGGTCCTGAGCTCTATCCAATGCACTACCTAGCTGGTTCTGGCTCCACTTAGCTGCCCAGGTCCAGGCTCTAGTTGTAGCCCAAATGTAGGAGGAACCCCAGAAGGATGTGAGTTAGCCATTGCTACTCTCTCTGGCTGGGATCCATGACTGAATTCCGGGAGACTTTCATCTCCCACCTCCCCCCATTCAGGGAGCCTATGTGGGTAAGGGAGTGGGCCCTGGGCACTGCTAAAGGGCTCTACTGTGTAGTAATTATACTGAAGCATTTAGGGTCATTTTTTCCATGAGGACACACCTGAGACTGAGCTAAAAGCTCGAATTTTAATAGGATTCAGTCCAAATAGTTATAGCCCCATTTGGACAACATTCCTACTTAAGGCTGTGGTGGGGTCAAGGTGAATCATTTCCCAGTAGGCCTCTGGCAGTTCACTCCTTAACATGGAGAGGCCAAAACAAGGGCTCAAATCCAGGTAAGCCTTGACTAATGAGCCCTGCCTTGCCCAGCCCCTCCCTCTCACTCTTTAGGGGACAGCTTCTCCTTACCTTGAGTCCATTCCCACATCTTTTAAGGCAGAGTAAGAGTGTGTGAAGAGGAACATGAGCCCCAAGTAGCTATAGAAAAGTGCGCACATGAATCAGCTGCTCACCCCCAGGGCTCCAGAACTCTCTAAGGGAATGACCAGTGAACTCGTGCCAAAGGGAGGCAAGTCTGGCATAAGACAGGGGCCGGGGTCAGTTTGAGAGGCTGGATGGGGAGTGGATCAAAGCAGGGCCCTAGTGGCAGAGGAGACAGAAGGCAAAAAGCAGGTACCTGTTTTGGGTCGGAGACCAGAGAGCCGGCAGCCAGCTTAATGGGGGATGGATGGAACCAGATCCAAGCAGCAATTTCCTATAAGGGCACCAGAGGGCGGAAATCGCAGCTGCTATTCTGATTTCCCTGGTTAAGAAGGCAAGACTTCAACCTTCTGTGCTGCCCAGGCTCAGGGCCACCCAGGGCCGCAAGTCAAGCAGGGAACCAAAGGAGGGGCGTTAAAGACAGACTCTGGCCATCCCCTCGCCTCCACCAGGCAACCACAGTTTGCAAAGGTGGTCAAGACCTTGGAGAACTTCCAGGCCAAGCCCGTCATTTTACAAAAACTGCCTCAGAGGGGAAAGCAGGCTGCCCACAATCACACAGTGGGTGGTAGAGCTGGGACTCACACCCAGGCTTCTCACTCTTTCCCCAACCACACCCCCCCCCCCAAACTCCTTAATGCAGGAACCAACTTCTTAGTGGTATAATTTTAGAACCTAGAAGGGAACTTATAAATCATCTAGTCTAGCCTCCCACCTAGAGTAGGCTCCTGCCCTTTATATTCCTGGAAGATGTAGTCACTATTTGAACACTTTCAGTGATGGAGAGCTCACTACCTAATGTGACTGATGATACCACTGTTGGGACAACTGTTAGGAACTGTTCCTTATATTAAACTGAAACCTTGTCTCCCTGTAACTTCCACCCCTCTGGTCCTGATTCTTTCTGGAGCTTCACAGGATAAATCCCTCTGCTTCCTGTTTGAAGGCAGTACTCATGCTCCTGGGGTAGCCAGGTGGAACAGTGGAAAGATAGCCAGGCCTAGAATCAGGAGGACCAAGTTCAAATCTAGCCTCAGACACTTCCTAGCTGTGTGACCCTGGGCGGGTCACTAAACCCTGCTTGCCTCAGTTTCCTGAGCTATAAAAAAGAGCTAGAGAAGGAAGTGCCAAACCACTCCAGTATCTCTGCTAACAAAACCCCAAATGGGGTCTCAGAGAATCGGTCATGACTGAAATGACTTAACAACAAACAACAATTCATGGTCCCCAAGTCTTTTCTTTCCCAAGCTAAACATCTCTAGTTCTTCCAAATGGTTCTCATTATAACCCAGTTCCTAGAGGCTTCCACCTAGCCCTGGATGTGCTGGTTCATCAATGTCTGTCTTGAAATATGGCGCTTAGAACTGAATACAAAATTCCAGCTGTGGAGCGCACAATGAGATGATTACTTTCCCAGTTCTGGACTCGTTCTTTCTTAATGAAGCCAAGATCACATTCATTTTTCTGGCTGCCACATCATACCATTGGCTCTTATTCAGTTTGCTATCAATTAATTCCCTAGGTCTTTTTTATATACCGTTAAGCCAATTACACCCCACTCTATATTTGTATAGTTTTTTTTTTTTTAACCCAAGTGCCCTAAGCATGTTGTAGAGGAAAGCACAATGGCCCTGGAATCATTGGTTCATAGTAGAAGCACTGAATCCAATCCCCTAGTCACTTGATAGGTGAGGAAACTGATGCCCAGACATTGGCTGAGGGACATGTAGCTTAGGAAGTGTGTGAAGTGAGATCTGAACCTGGGTCTTGCTGATTCCAAGTCCAGCACCATGTCCAGTAGTACTCAGCCTCTCAGGTCTCAAGAGATCTTAGTTCAAATGTTGCTTATGTGACTATGGGGCAGTCGTTATTTTCTTTGTTCCTTGTTTACTCATCTGTAAAACGAGTGACAGTGCTTTTATTACCCACCTAACCCAGTTGATGGGAGGAAAGTGTTTTGTAAACTTTCAGATGCTATAGAAATATAAATAATCCCAGTTAAATTTCATCTTGTTTCATTCTTCTAGGCTATCAATGCCTCCCAGTTCAGGCCATCTGAAAATCTGACAAATATGTCGTATGTGGTTTCATCTAAGTTAGTGATAATGATTTTGGACCAGGGAACTGGAGTATAGAACACTGTGGCACACCACTAGAGACATCCCTCCAGGTTGGCATTGATCCATTAATCCATGCTTTGCAGTCATTCAACCAGCTATAAATCAACCCATCCATCCAGCACCCTCCCACCCTGCTTTGCCATTTTAACTGCAAGATTCCCACTCCCATCCAATGACCATTAACTCTCCTGTGACCCAGTAAGCATAAACTCTCAGGTCTATATCAGAACATAAAAATGTTAAGAGCAAGGAGAGACTTTAGAACTCATAGGACCATTAACTTAAGGCTTGAGAAGGATTTTATAAACAGGTGGTTGAATCTAAACTCTTCATTTTACAGATTAGGAAACTGTGACCCAGATAAGTGACTTGACCAAGGTCACAAAGCTAGTGCTTAGGAGTAGCAAGGCAGGGAATAGAACCAGGTGTCCTGAATTTCAGCTCTTTCTATATACAATTTGCTCCTGATCTAGGTGTCCTCTGGAGTGAACTCTGGTGGTAGTAGTGGTTCGGTCGGGGAATATTTGCCTTTGCTTTATAGGAACTGGTTTTGTTATGCTAATACTCTGAAGGTTCTTTTCCCTGGGTCACTACTAATCTTAAAATTCTGGTGAACTGTCACCAGGTCACCCTTGGTGCCTGCGTTTGGTTTCCCCAAGGATGACCCTCATTTTTCCCATTCCGTATCTGTGCCAGGGCAAGGATCCAAAATGTTCTCTCTTTATTGTGCCAACCGGAAAAAAAAAATCCCCAGATTGTAAACAGGTCAGGAGAAATATACAGGTTAAGTTGCTCATCATCTTATTAACAAAATAAAGCCCTGTCTATGTTTACAGTTGTAAAAAAGGAATAACTCTGGAGAGAGATGGGGACTTAGGAAAGGGGCTGAGGTGGGGAATGGGGGTGGATGGGACAAAGGGTAGGCTTGGTTTCCACATCTGTCCCAGCTGGATTGAGTCCCCTCCTCCTGACCCCAGAGCTCTCTCCCTGCCCCCTCAGTGTTCCTCTCCAATGGGATGTGACTTTCTTGGGGGTGGAAATAAATAAATAAAATGAGAGACTGATCATGGGCAAAGTCAAGTCCCCTAGCCAAGGGGTGGGGTCAATGGCAAGGGGGTGGAGGGTGAGGGTGGAGAAAGAAATAGGGAAGGACAGTAGCCAAGGGAAAGAAGGGTAGGGAAAGGGCAACTGAGACTCCTCATCTCCCCCCCCAAATAAACAAAGTGACTCACACACATACATATCCTTCCCTCCCAGGGCCAGCAGGGCCAGACAGTTCTGGAAGCAGCCTTGGCCACCTTGGGCAATCTTTGATGCCCATCATTCCAACCTTGTCCAAACTGACCTTGTCTATCAGACAGGGCCAAGACTAGATGACGCAGGTAGTCAGTCTCTCCTAGCACCTGCCTTTCTGGCCTCAGCCACTTTTCTCAGATCCCAGCTTCCAGGGCACTGGAAAAGGTCCCATTTCCCTCCCCCCACTCCCCTCTGCTGGGAACCAGGGCCTAAGTTGGGCAGCCTAGGGCTAGGGGGCCGGGTAGCCCCTTGGAGAGGCTGTGTTCTCAGGCGTCTCAGAGCTAAAAATGGCTCCGTGGGAATTGACTGGCAGTCAGTGAACAGGAGAGGGAGGAGGTCAGGGTGGCTGACAGCTCCAGTCACTGAGACCCAAAGACACACAGAGATGTCCAGACATGGACGGTGGCTCCAGAAGGGTAGGGGCATCCTGCCAGGGAGGAGCGAATCGATAAGGAAACAGACCCAGGACAGAGAGACAGAAACACAAAAAAAGAAAGAGAACCTGAGACCCACAGAGAGCTACAGAAAGGGAGAGAGTCTAATGATGCTCACTGACAAGAGAGATCCAGAGTCAGAAAAGTCAGAGACGCACAGAAAGAAGCCTCCCCTCAGGAATCCTGAGACACAGGAATCCCCTGGAATGGGGACATAGCAGCCACATGTGCACGCGAGCATGCGCACACGCACACACACACACACACACCCCTACACTAATACATCCACTCAGATACACACACAGGCTGGATACACCAAGACAGACAGTCTAGTGGAAAGGAATGAGGGGATGAAGAAGTCAAGGGAAAAGGCAGAGGGACGAGAGACTCACACCCAGCCTGGGCTCAGTCACACCAAGCACACGTAGACTCTGGGAAGAGACCTATGGGGGCTGGGAAAGAAAGCCCTGCAGGAAGCTGATGTAGAATGAATGAGGAGGTATGCTACCCCAGACGTGGGGTATGAATAGAGTGGAGGGTAGGGAGCAGATGGATCAAATGGACACGCAAAATATACACCACCCTCCTGGCTGATCAAGGGAGATGAGAAAAGAGGGTATGGGGAGGGGGCTGCAGCAACCAGGACCCCAAACAGGGAGGGAGTAGAGGGCGCTAGTCATACAATAAGCTCCTTGGTATGAATATCAGGGGACTTGTGGCATTACTTGGTTGATGATAGGAAGCTGGGCCAGACTATGAAGCTTCCCTTTTCTAGGAACTCAGGTGCCCCCCTGTTTCCTAAAGTCCACACCAATTCCATTGCTCTGAAGCCCCTGAAGAGAGAGGATGCCTACTTCCAGGCCAAACATCCTAGAGTAGGATTCAACCTTTCCTGATCCCATTTCCCCTGCATAGATGTATGTACATATGCACAGCTGTGCCCATTTCCCGGACACATCCCTGTCAAGGTACCTACACAGTCGAAGTCTGCTGGTGGTGCTTGATAGGGCCAGGGGACAAGCCCTTGTTAGCCTCCTCCCTCCCCCTTTAAAGATATGACTGGGGGGAGCAAGAGGGCATGAGCCCCTGAGCCCCGCTCAGTCTGTAAGCACCACCAACTCTCCATCACTTTTCTCCTCAACTTCGGAATCTTCGTCCTCGCTGTACCGGAACATCTCCCCATCGGCCACAGAGTGCCCGTCCTCGGCTCCCTCGCTCTCCTCTTTAAGGCTTCGGGTGTTGACAATGATAGGCATGCTGGGGTCCAGGCTCCGGGGCACATAGTGCTCCAGAAGGGGTTGTGCCAGCGGCATGCCGGGTGCCCTGGGATACAGGACATCTGGGGAGCTCATCTGCATCTGATTGCCTGGTGGGCTGGGGAGCAGGAGGAAAAATGGGGGTATTAGTGTTGCTCCCCCAAACTGCACAGATACACCCTGATCTCCCTACTCCCAATCACAGTCCCAATCCTACAGTCTCTCCCAGATCCTATAGAGCTGGGAGAACCAAAAACATTGGAAAGATGTATGTCTCCAATTCCATGATGCTCACTAAGGTGGGGAAATGAGATGGAGGACAAGGGCATAGACATGAATGTGCATGTTGTCAATTCTCCCTCCTTCCCCACCCCCAACTACACACACACACTCCATAGGATCAGAAATCTAGCTTTGAAAGGGCCCTTGGAGGTTACCTAACCCAACCCCTTTGGTTCAATGAGGAAACTGAGCCCTGGGAAGTTAAGTCACTTGCCCAGTCATACAGATAGTAAAGCATTAAAGGTAGGATTGAAGTCATCCCCTCTTGACTTCAAAAGCAGTGTTCTTTCTACCATGGATTCCTATATAAGACTCAAGATTTCTAAGCTCACTACTGCCTGATCTTTTGAATAGCCGAACCTAAGAGCAGTCATATATGAACAGGAAGAGGAGGGTTGGCTACATAGCTACTCACATGCTTATGTCTATGCAGTCATACATTAATGGGGCTACCTCACTTTTACATCATACTTACGTTCTCCAAGAGTTGTGTGAATCCATTTTAGTAGTCGAATCATATTTCAAATGTGCCAAAGCATTTCTACTTAAAGGAACCATAGTGAGAAATCCTTTGTAAAAGGAAGACTCTCTAAGGGCCACCGTCACCCCAAAGTCATATTATTTGGCAGATTAATATGTTTGTATTTGATTCTGCTCCAGAGGATGTGGCCGTGCACGGTCAATCCCTGTGTGTCTGCCACATATCTGTACACTAACACACAGTCAGATGGAAAGGCAAATGACACAATCAGGTTATAGTTAACCATGTACTGTCATCCAGACTCACAGTGACATATGTACAGTCACAGATGAGCAGGGGTCTGCGGGAGCCAGTTCTAACCAGCCTTTAGCTCTTGAGAGCTGATGGTTAAATTTTCAGTGTATTTACACTTCAGAAATCAGCAAATGCTCCAAAACAGGGCTTGATTTATTGTTTTGTTGATTGTATATACTTGGAAATAATGGAGAAAATATTAATGTAGATTAATTTTTAAATGTGTCATGCATACTTTTTTTTGGCGGGGGGAGGGAGGGAGAGCCAGTTGTTAAACATTTACGAGCACATGTCAGACATAGTCACATGTAGCATGACACCGTGGCAAGGTCTGGAAAGGAACCTTGAAGGTCACTTAGTCCAGTCCTTTCATTTTACTTTTTTTTTGTAAATAGTATTTTATTTTTTTCAATTCCGTAAAGATGGTTTTCAACATTCATTTTTATAAGATTTTAAGTTCCAAATTTTTGTCCCTCCCTCCTTTCCTTCCCCCCTCCCTAAGACAGCAAGCAATCTGATATAGGTTATACATGTGCAATCATGGAAACATATTTCCACATTAGTCATGTTGTGAAAGAAGGAACAGAACAAAAGGGAAAAGCCACAAAAAAAAAAAGTGAAAATAATATGCTTCGATCTGCATTCAGACTCCATAGTTCTTTCTCTAGATGTGGACAGCATTTTCCGTCATGAGTCTTTTGAAATTGTCTTGGATCATTGTATGCTGAGAAGAGCTAAGTTGATCATACCAACCCCTTCATTTTATAAATGAGGAAACTGAAACCTTGTTTTTCCTGGCCCTGGAGTAAGAGGACCTGGGTTTGAATCCTCATTCTTCAATTTATAACCCAGGCAAATTACTTCCTCTTTCTGGGCCTCAGTTTACCCAAATGGAAAATTAGGGGAGTGAACTAGGTAATCCTGAAGGTTTCTTTTAGCTAGCTAGGACCTTGATGACCCTTTCAGCTTGAAATCTGTGGGCCAGTTCCCCAGTCAGCCCGCCCCATTTACACCTGCTCAGACACGGTAGAGCTGGCAATCCCATTTCCTTCTTTCCTGGATCACCCAGCAGGCCAGAGAGGGGAAGGAATTAGGGGGAAGAGATGCAGAAAGCTCACGGGATAACGTAATTCTGCCTCGCGTCCTGGCGTCGGTTCCTCATCAGAGCCTTGTACTCTCCTACTCGTAGCCGCTTGCCCTCCACGATGCACGTACGCTTGGGCCGAGGCTTGTATTTATAGTCAGGATACTTCTCCAGGTGCTGGCGGCTCAGCCGTGCCTGTTCCTCATAGTACGGCTGCTTTTCCTGGTTTGTCATGGACTTCCAGCGGGAACCTAGCACCCGGATCCTGGTATCAGTCCCAGCAGCCCAGTCTAAGCCCAGCCCTGACCCCACCCTCCTACCCCATCCCCCCACACACTGCAGGTGGATAGAGTCCAATGGGGGGCAGCTAGGTGGGGCAGTGGAGTGTGGGGCCTGGAGTCAGGAATACTCAAGTTCCTGAGGTCAAATTCAGCCTCAGACATTTATTAGCTGTGACCCTGGGCAAGTCACTTAACCCTGTTTGCCTCAGTTTCCACATCTATAAAAGAGAGAAGGAAATAGCAAACCACTCTAGTATCTTTGCCAAGAAAACTCCAAATGGGGTCATTAAGAGTCGGACACAACTGAACAACTACAATAACAACATAGTCCAGTGACGGACTTCCACAGTCATACTGGATTCTCTGTGGGCACCTGAATAGAAGTAATAAGAGGTGCCCAGCTAGAAGGGCCAGTGCCCACCCCATGACAAACTAGGCTGAAACCTCATCAATAAGGCTTCTATGTGAAATGAGCACATACATACAAAGACTGGTTTGGGCAAGGGCTGGTCACATCAACCTCAATGTAGGGGATAGTGGCATTGTCTCATGGGATATTCAGGGTACCTATCCATGAATGCTATTGGTAGTTAAGGTTTAGGTAGGTGCTCTTATTATTCTCATTTAAAGATGAGGAAACTGAGGCTTGAGAGACGTAAAGTGATTTGCCCAAGGTCCTACTGTTGAGTGAGGTCTAAGGCTGGATTTGAACACAGCACTTTCTGAGTCCAAATCCAGCGCTCTCTATCCACTGTACCATCTACCTGCCTCATTTGGGCATCTTTCCTACACAAATGAATATCTCATACACTCTGCCAGATCCCACCAGAGTCAACAAATCCCCTTTCGAAGTGAAACTTGTCTAGGTCAGGCCCCCAAATTTGGTGCATCCAGCAAACAAAACAACTATTAGGAAGGAAGCCCATGCTCCCCACCAGGCACTGCCCATCCCCATTCCACTGCTCACCAAGAATCTTGCTGATGCTGGAGTTATGCATGTCAGGACAGGCCTGGAGGATCTTTCGCCGTTCATCCTTGGCCCACACCATGAAGGCATTCATGGGCCTCTTAATGTGATTGTTGTTCCGGGACTCGGGGAAGTGTCGGGAACCTAGTAGGGGGTGGGGTGGGATAGAAACAAGAGATGCTCTACCTTTGCATGCCCAGAAAAGGGGGTGGAGAGAGATGGGGGGGTGGGAAGGGGAATGGGCTGCTTGAAGAGAAAGTGGTTTCCCTGTCACTGGAGGACTTTGAGTGGAGATTGGAGGGTGACCAGTCAGGGATATTGGAGAGGGAATAGTCCCACTCAGGAAGGGCTGGTCCAATCCCTGATATCTCTTCCAACTCCCAAAGTGCATATTTCTAAAGGGTCCCCTTGCGTTTTCTTTTAACTAAGTAATTTGGGGGAGACAGACTCCCCACCCTCATCTCCCCCATGACCAGGACTCTGGCCATGGGTAAGATCAACAGGGACTCAAAAGTCTTGAGGTTTTGGTCTTTAAGAGCCCCAAGCGTGGCAGTATAGGAGGAGAGGGCGAAAAGAGAGACAATGAATCAAAAATGATTGGGTTAGGGAGGACACGCACAACATGTTGTTAAGATCCACAGACATCAGAGACAGAGGGGAGAACGCTGAGATGACAGAAAAGGAGAGAAACAAAGAAACCTCCAGCAGACGGACAGAGACAACAGAAACAGTGGAGATACAGAGATGGCGCCAATCCCAGACCCACCCTCTGCTGCCTTTACATCCCAGGCATCATCTGGGCACTCCACCAGGAAATGACCGGGGATGAGAACTCCCCAATCCCCTGGGAACCTGGGGGACCATACCATCCATGTCACAGCTCAGCATGGTCTCATCTAGCTGGTGCCCACAGCTCTCCTCCAGCCGATCCTTGGCTGGGGATGACTCCAGGTTGATGAGGTCCTGGGGTGCAGAGAGGGTACAGTGGGAACATTGCCATTGCTTCAGCAATTCCCCCACTACTTCCAACCCTTAAGACCCTGTCTCATTCCCTGCCAGAACCTTTTACCTTCTTCTGTTGACTTCCTCCCAGGGATAGAGACTAGACCTGTGATTTTATTGGTATAGGGAACTCCCAGATCAGGAAACCACCTTGATCTTAGTCATCAACCTCTCAGCAAGTAATGGGTGTTGAGATTACCCAAGGCAGAGAGAAGGTATATAACTTGTCCAAGGTCACCAATAAAGGTAAGAGAGGCCATTTCTCTATACACTACGTCACTCTGTTTTTCTTCTTAATTATCCTTTAATCCTCAAGTCAAAATAGTCAAGTACCTGCACCCAGCTGATCCCTGTGCTATTCTGTGTGCCCTGGGAGCCAGAAATCCTTACCTTCCTGTAAGAGGCATTAGGAGAGCTCTCAATGGGTCCACTGTGGCCATGCAGCAGCTGTCGGGCATCCTGGATTGCTTTGGTGATTGCATCGCCCTCACCGAGAAAGCCTTCAGTGGGGGAAAAGAGAGGAGAGCAGAGTTGAGATCAGCAAACATCAAACTTTCCTTTAGAGAAGCAAGCCTCCTTCTTTAGCCTTTCCACATTCTCCTCTCCCTAGCCTTGGAAATTCTCCCCTGCCAGGATATAGGGACATCTGGGACTCTTCCAGCATGGGTAATGGCATCCTATGGAGAGGGTGGTCTTGATGACATAGAGACTCAGGGAATGTCAAGTCAATTTTGCAGGTAAAAAAACTGAAACCCAGAAAAAACAAAATGACTTGGCCAAGATCACACAATTACTAACATCAATCACTAAATATCACAATGAATATTATTAAATATCTAATAATACGGAATGATTTATTATCAGATAACAATAGTTGATAAGAGTGCAAAAATAGCTAACCTTTATACAGTGCATATAAGGTTTCAAATCACTTTATACATTTTTATTACCATTTAGTGTTTATAACAGTTAGCAGAGTTCAAGTCTACTTCCTGCCAGGCCAGTGTACTTTCTCTTGTGTTATCGTACTTTCAGTCCCTGGGATATGGGAGAGATGAGAAGGTGGCAAGTAGGGTGAATGAAGAGGTAGGTGTGTTTAGGCAGAGGGCATACCTAGGGGTAGACTGGGTGGGCTGGCCTGGAGGTCCCGGGTGGGAGCCCCATGGTTGGCTGGGAGGGGACCACAGGTGCTTATCTTCAGGTTGGGGGAGCTGGAGGTGTTGGGCAGCTCCGGACCTTTGGGCTTGGCAGTCAAGTTCAGAGGCTGTGAAGACTCCTGGGGGAAACCGAGACAGAAACAGAGAGGAAGGGAGTGAATAACCCAGAGACAGACAGAAATCTGGCTAGGGAGAGACATATCGACATCAAAAGAAGGACAGATTCGGATATACAGACAGAAAGACAGTGAGATGGGCATAGAGTAACACAGAGACAGAGATGGATAGCACATGAGAGCTAACATGTCTGCGCCTAAAGGCGGAGCTGTCAGAAGAGTGTAGACAGTAAGGTTAAGGGATTCAAACATAAATACGTGACTATAGCTGATTGAATCTTCCCAATTTTGTTATTCCCCTCTCGTAGCACTTTGCATTGCCTCCCACACACCCACCTCCCAAAAGAGAGCACAAGGACTCCTGGGAGCAGGAAATGAGCCAATGTCCCCATCCCTAGTGTCTTACCAGGGAGCACCAGGAAATGCCTGGGGTCCAGGCCAGCTTCCTCTCTGGCTGTTGCCATTCTATCTGGGCCCAGGAGTCAAGGAGGGTGGGGGGATAGAGTGGCCGGAGTGAATCTCTCTCCCACCCTGTCCCTTCCCCAGTCCCAGGCTGGGTGTCCTAGTACCTGGAGAGGGTGATGGGTAGAGACGGCCCCAGGCCTCTTCACAGCAGGGGTAGGGGGGCTGTGCAGGAGCTGCAGCGGGTACTCCACTGTGGAAAAGGCGGCAAGGAGAAAAGTCCTGGATGAGCATAGAACAGCAGAGACCCTGCTTGACGAGGCACGTTGGCGGTCAGGATGGACGGACGGACAGACAGCTTTCGTCTCCAGCTTGGCATTAGCAGCTCTCCCCCCCCAGTATCTGATAAGCCAGCTAGGTCTACCCACTAACCTTCTCAGGATTCTGATGGTGACAGACACACACCACTCTTACATACCCACATACAAACATACAAGCTCTGGGCAACATTCTAAACACCCAAGCCCTTCCCAAGTTTATGCATTCACCCCTTCAGCACACGTTTCTTGAGTGTGCAATACACTGAAGGGGATACAAAGGGAAAATACGACATGGCCCCTGCCCTCCTGGAGCTTACAGTCTACTTGGGGACACAAGACACGTACCTAATCAACAGTAACACAAAGCAGCAAGTAACAAGGGCCATAAGTGGGGCAAACCAAGAGCTGCTGAACACAGAGGAATGAGGGAGCCAGAAGATCTCTTCTAAAGTCCTGTCTCGTTCTAGATCCTACAACTCTGACTTCTGGTTGGGAACATCAGAGGAGGCTGCAAAGGTATGACCATTTGAGATGGGTCTCGAAGGCATATAGCGTTCTAACGGTAGGAGATGGAATCAGTGGACATTTCATACAACAAGACCAAAGAGTGTGACTCTTCCAGGAAGACTTCCCCGAGTGATCCAGCTGGGTTTCACCTTACCCAGCGTCTCCCCCGGCAGCTGGCCATTATATTATTTATACCATACTTGTTTGCCCTTGCTGATGAACTGCCATGTAAAAATATTTTTTCAGCTATTTCATGGGTGGGTGCTATATATAGGAGTGCTATAATAATAGTTGGGACTTCTACAGCTCTTTTTAAACAAGTTTGATTGTTTATTTTTTGAGACTAGGTCTCCCTATCCTGGCCAGGCTGGAAGGAGAGCTGCCATTCACAGGTTATGTCCTGCTGCTGACTGGTATAGCAACTTTGAATTGTACTGTTTTTTGGACCTGTCTGGTTCACCCTAACTATGGTAGCCTCTCTGACCCGGGGAGTTCACCATATTGGTGCAGGACTTGCAAGGACCCCAGATCTGGCTCTAGCCCCACTGTAGCTCAGAACTCTTGAACTCAGTAATCCACCAGCCTGAGCCTCCCCACTAATAGCGCCTATAGGAATGTGCTGCCACACTCAGCTTTTTAAAATTGGAAAAGCATTTCACACATATTATCCTGCTTGAGCCTCATGGTACCCCTGTGAGGCAGGTACTACAGGTTTTACCATCTTATTTTACAATTGAGGAAACTGAGTCTCAGAGAGCAAAAGTAACCTGCTCTTGGTCACACAGGTAGTATCAGAGGCAGGATTTGAACCCACTCCTGACCCACACATCTAGCCCTCTACTGTACTCTACAGCCTCCAGCCTATAGTCTTCTAAATCATAGTATAATAATAATAGTTAACATTTATATAACTCCTACTATGTGCTGAGCACTATGCTAAGCACTTTACAATTCTTATCCCATTTCATCCTCACAAAAATCCTCAGAGGTAAGTGCTGTTATTATCCCCATTTTACAAATCAGGAAACTGAGGCAACTAGAGTTTAAGTGACTTGCCCAGGGGCATACAGCTGGGGAGTATTTGAGGCAGGTTTAAACTCAAGTCTTCCTGACTCCAGGCTCAGCACTCTGTCCACTGCGCCACTCGTTAAAGGCTGGATTTAATAATTCCATTGTTGGGAATATATCCTAAGAGTGTATCCCAAAGTCAAAGCCAACCAAAAAGAGTTATCTGTACAAATATTTTTATAGCAGCAATATATGTAATTGCACAAAATCAAAAACCATGACCAAGCTCTAGAAGCAACCCAAATGTCCAACAATTGGGCATCGATTAAAGAAATTGTGGTATATTATTGTAACAGAATAATACAATTAAAGCTGACAAGTATGAAGAATATCAAAAAAATCTGTAAAACTTGTATGAATAATGCAAAGTAAAAAGAACAGGTTGTAGTATACACTCACTACCTACCACAGGAGGACAAGCAAATGTGAATGAATAGACAAAGAATCCTCATGTTAAGAGTGAGGGGAGGCAAACAGCTCGCAATAGTTCATATTGAGAGGAACTCATTTCAATGTAAATAGTTGCTAAGCAAGTTTGATCGGTTGCACTTCAATGTCAAGTTTATAAAAAAGTTTTCTTTAAAAAAAAAAAGCAGAGCCTATCATTCTCTGTATCTCACTCCAAAATGCCAAGTATGGAACTAGGCAAACAGTAGCTTTCAATTAGAGTCACTGACCAGCTGACCCACACTCAGGGCCGAAAAGAAATTAGGCAACAGGCCAGCGGGAATTCTAATCAACTCTCCCTCTGCCCAGCAGCTGGGTCTGCCCTCTCTCTGCTCTGCCTTTCCCTTTCTTCCTTTATGGGCTGTATATATATGTATACACTAGTAGGTGGGACAGGGGTGAAGGCAGATTTGAGGAAATGAAGTTATGGATTACTATTTTGAGTTCTTAACCTACAAGGGGACAGTTGTGGACATTGGTATGGCTAGCGTAGCAGCTAAAGATGAGAAAGAAGGGGAAATGATGTGCTTGGAGATTTTGGAGAGAGGAGTTCAGTCTTTTTTTCAGTCGTGGCCTCATTTGGGGTTTTCTTGGTAAAGATATTGGAATGGTTTGCCATTTCCTTCTCCCTGAGGCAGAGTTAAGGGACTTGCCCAGGGTCACACAGCTAGGAAGTGTCTGAGGATGGATTTGAACTCAAGATGACTCCAGGCCTGGCATTCTACCCACTGCGCCACCTAGCTGCCCAGAAACAGAAGTTCAGATTGGATCAAATCCTCAAGTTGGCCTTAATGGCCCCAGAAGACAGGGGAGAAAACAACTCCTCCTTACATTTGTGAAGCAATTGATGGCAATAGACCATAAGTCTATGGATTTAGAGGTAGACGGGACCTCATCCAGTCCAACATCATCTCATGTTACTGATGAAGCTCAGGTCTGGGGGAAATTAAGTCACTCGCCTGTGGTCATACAGGTAAGTGTCAGAGGTGGGATTTGAACCCAGGTCCTCTAGCTCTGGAGCTGACCTTCTTTCCACCATATCATGCTGCTTCTTATTGAACTCTTTCCTATATAGTTTCCACAGCATTTTTGGGAAAGGGCACTGGAGTCGGAGGGGATTCTAATTCCAGGTCTTCTATTCATCTGCTTGAGTAAGTCAATTCTTGTCTGAGTCTCTGTTTACTCCTCTATAAAATGGGGATAATATCTGCTCTGATTAAATTGAAATCATGTAGATATTAATGTAGACTGTTAACTCCTTCAGAACAGTGATTACATCTTACTATTCCCTAGTGCAGTGCTTTGTACATAGTAGGTGCTCAGTAACGTTTGTTGGATGAATGAATGACCTCATTGGGTTCTCTCCACTCCCACTGTAAAGTATATAGGGAAATATTTATCCTGACTATTGGACAGACGAGGAAAATGAGACCCCAGGAGACTAAGGAATGTAGTACTGCATACGTCAATGGCTGTGGCAGGAACGGGACCAACGTCTCCAGATTTCCAGCGCTGCCTCCAGAGATCCTGTCCATTTCAGAACCAACCATGGTTCTGAGACTCCCCGCCTTCCCAATAGAATGCCCCACTTACCTGGTTTACAAGGGATGGGCTGAATAGGTAGTGCCAGTTGGGAGTCAGCGGTGACAGGCATGGGCTGATGGCTGGGAGGGAACGCGGGGATCATGACATAAGGCATGTTGACCTGCTGAAGGGAGAGAGACCCCCCCATGTGAGCTTCCCAGATATGGCAACTCCAGGCCACACCTAGGAAGCATCTGAACCTATGGATGGAGGGCAAAGCATTCAATGCTTTTACTTCTAGCCAGTCAAGGGGACGCCTGCTTTTTTTCTGGCTTTCTCCATGTCTAGAGTTCTATGAATGCCCAATTCCTATAATGGAAATCAAACTATAGATCATATATTTAGAGCTAGGAGGGAGCTTAGAGACCATCTTCTCCATCCCTTCATTTTACAGATGAGGAAACTGAGGCTTAGAGGGGTGAAATGACTTGACAGAAGTGGGATTTGAACCAAGAAACTCTTGACTCTAAATCCATGCTTTTTCCACTATACCATGCCTTAGGAAGTATTTACCCCAAACCTCTCTCCAGAGAAAGAGAAAGAAAAAAGAAGTGAGGGAAGCTGGAGAAAATGAGAATATTAGAGCCAGAAGGGACTTTAGAAATCACCTAATCCAATCACCTCATCTCACAGATGAGGAAATAGAGTTCCAAAGGTTAGGTGATGTGCACAAGGTTCCATGGCTACTGTAGAGCAGAATTGGGATTCTGGCCCAAGGTTGGTTGGTTGGTTTGGGACCAAGCTGATCTTTCCATTATACTACATGGGGACACTAGGGACCCCGATTGTTGTCTTGACTATGGACTTCTCCAGTTTCACTTACTTCACCATCCCAGCACCATTCCCCCAGAGAAGCTCCCTCTCCACCTGCAATGATGAGCTGAGTGTGGAGCAGGGAGATGGCTAGCAGAACATCTTGTTGTGGAAGAGTCTCTGAAGACAGTCAATTTAGAGGATCATAGCTTTAGAGCTGGAAGGGGCCTTAAAGACCATGGAGTCCAACTCCTTCATTTTCCCGGTGAGGAAGCCAAGGGCTGGCAAGGCTGTGCCTTGTTCATGATCACCCTGCTAGTGTCAAAGGCAGAATCTGAACCTTGGTCTTTCTATCCATGACACCATGCCTGTAAGCCTCCCTTCCCTCCCACCTTTCCCCCAAGCCTCCCAACCCTCCTCTCCCAGTGCTGCCACAACCCTGCCCCTCTCTTTACCTGGATCTGCTGCTGGAGGAGGTTGATCTTGTGCTGCTGCTGAATGAGTTGCTGCTGCTGCTTTGCTATCTGGTTACAAGAAGGGGTGGAGAGGACAGAACAGGGCCATGCCCGATTAATCCTTGAGTGCCCACGACCTTTGTCTAAGTGGAATGTCCCAGTCCTACAGAATGGCCACTCTGTAACTTGGCCCTGTCTGTGCCTGGGGCAAACCACAGAACCTCCAAGGAAACCTGGTCCCAGGTAGAGTCTGTAGAGTCAAGGGGAGGGAAATACAGGCAGTAATTCAAGTTTCAACATCTATTCTCTTCTTGAATGGATAGAATCCATTCAAAAAATGAAAAAGAAGAGGAATGGGAGTGAAGTGGTCACTAAATCTCACCTATTCCTACCATTACCTGAACAAAAACCAATAAAGCAATACATTAGACAATGGGCTGCTTGAAGACCTCCAGGGAGGAGGAACTCATTGCCTTCGCGGGCAGCCCATTCCAATTTTGGGGAGAGCCTTTTTTTTTTTTTGGAAGGCAATCAGGGTTAAGTGACTTGCCCAGGGTTGCACAGTTAGTAAGTGTCTGAGGTCAGATTTGAACTCAGGTCTTCCTGACTCCAGGGTCAGTGCTCTATCCACTGTGCCATCTAGATGCCCTGAGAGCTCTTAATTGTTAGGAAGATTTTTTTTTCTTATATCAAACCTAAATCTTTTTTTTTAAAGCAGTATTTCCCCCTCAATTACATGTCAAGACAATTTTTAGCATTCATTTTTACAAGATTTTGAGTTCCAAATTTTTCTCTTCCCCTCCCCTCTTCCAAAAATGGTAGCCAATTTGATATAGGTTATACATGTGCTATCATGTAAAACATATTTCCATATTAGTCCCAGTTGTGAAAGAATAAACAGATCAAAAAGAAAAAAACACACAAAAAAGAATAAAGTAAGTGAAAAAATATGCTTTGATCTGCATTCAGAATCCATCAGTTCTTTATCTGGATGTGGATAGCATTTTTCTTTGTGAGTCCTTTGCACCACTGTGTTGCAAAGAAGAACAGAATCATTCATAGTTGGTCATCACACAATGTTTCTAATACTGTGTACAATGTTTTCCTGGTTCTGCTCATTTCACTTTGCATCATTCATACAGATCTTTCCAGGTTTTTCTGAAATCTGCCTGTTTATCATTTCTCATTGCACAACAGTATTCATTACATTCATATACCATAGCTTGTTTAGCCATTCCCCAATCAATGGTCATCCCCTCAGTTTCCAATATTTTGCCACAACGAAAAGGGCTGATATAAATATTTTTGCACACGTAGGCCCTTTTCCCTTTTTTTGATTTCTTTGAGATACAGCTATATCTTTTTTTTTTTTTGCAACTTCCTTTCATCATACCTAATTCTGTCCTCTGGGGCCAAGCAGAGTAAATCTGTTCTACATGGCAGCCCTTCAAATACTTGAAGGCAGCTATCATAGTCCGAACACCCTTAAGTAATCTCTTCTCAAGGGTAAATTAACATCTCTGATTCCCTTAACTCTCACAGAGCAATGATTTCTAGTCCCTTGACCAACTTGATTGTTCTGCTTTGGACAATTTTAAGTTTATCAATGTCCAACCTAAAATACGGCAGCAAAAACTGAACACAATACTGCAGATGCAGTCTGACCAGAGCAGAATACAGTGGGACTAGTAATGCCCTAATTCTGAACACAACACCTCTCTTAAGGCTGCCTAAGATTGCATTAGCTTTCTTTGGCTGTCACTTGACTCAGCTGACTCATGTTGAGCCCATCATTCACTAACCTCCCCCCCCAACCTAGCCATATCTTCCCCATCTTGTACTTATGAAGTTGATTTTTTTTTAACACAAGTATAACCCAATTAAATGTCACCTTATTAGATTCATCCTAATATTCTAGCCTGTCTAATCTTTTTGTGTCCTGACTTGGTAATCTAGTGTGCTAGCTAGCCTTCTCAGCAATATATCACCTCCAAATTGGATACGTATGCCATCTCTGTGACATCTATGCTTTATCCAAAGCATTGATGAAAATATTAAACAGCACATGGCCAAATAGAGACTCCTGAAGTCTTCCACTGACAACCTTATGCCATGGTGATACTAAACCATTAATGGCTACTCTTTTTGGTTCTACCATTCAACCAGTTCTGAATGTAACTGTCCTATCAGCCAGCCCATATCTTGCCATATTTTCCACAAGAAAAGCATGAGAGACTTTGTCAAATACTTTTTAAAAATCTAGGTAAGGAACCAAGAGTAGCAAAAAGAGCAAAGTGAGTGTTCCTCAACTCAAATTTCTTCAAACAGACCTGGAAAACAAATCAGATTGAGCTCTGAGGAGAAAATACAAGAAAAAGTCACAGTGAGCTATTTTTCCAGCCCCAATCAACATAGGGAGATAGAGAGGTCTGTGGATAAGGGCAACAAAGTCTGGCAAAGGAATGCACTGCCTATAGAGCACTCCAGTGCCCAAGGAAAGGCTGCAAACCAGAGCAAGAGGAGGTACCACATTCATACTGGGATGGAATTCATGCAGAGTATGGGAAAAGGTGCTAAGTAGTTCTGGATCACAGATCCAGGACAAACCAATTTGGGGACTTGCAGGGTACACCAAGGAGGGAACTTGCCACCAAAGGTGACTTTTTAGGGTAAAGAGATTTTCCTGGGTTAGGATCACTTGCAGTGTATCAAGAGGCAGTGTATCAAAAGAGGAGCAAGTTCAGAAACAAGCAACAATAACATGGCTTGGACCCCCAGGAGCAGAGCAGGGTCTCAGTTCTAGTTTCGGGTCCCAGTCTGAAGCCCTCAGAGGAATAATTGGTGCTGAAATCCCAAACAAAAGGGAACCTACAGTTTTATTACTCTGAACCAGCAGAGTTTCCCAGTGGGTTGACGATGGTTGAATCTAGCAACATTCTACTGTTGCGTAGACCCAAACCTAGTTCAGGAGGTAAAGCTCAGACCAGAAGGACAGCAATCAGACTTTATCCTAGATAAGACCACTTTGGGAAGGCTGAAAGCTTGCAGGTCTTCAGTTTGAGATCCTGGAATAACATGATACTCAATACCCCCCAGGAAAGTAGCAACAGGACCAGCCCAGACCTTTCCTCCACAACAGGGCAAAGCCTGGCCCTAATATCAAGTCTGAAATCCAGAAGTAGATTGGAAGAATGAGCAACCAAAAAAATACCACCATAAAAAGCTATTATGATGACAGGGATACTGACGACATAAACCCTCCAAAACAACTACTAGCAAAGCCACAGAGAAAAACACAGCTTGGACACAAATCCAACCAGGAAGATATGAAGCAACACTTTAAGATAGTTTTAAAAATGCTTTTGTCAGTGAAATAGAAGCAATAGAGGAAAAAACTAGAAAGGGAATGAGAGTTATGGAAGAAAGAATTAGAAAGGGAATTAACAGCTTGGCACAAAGGGTGCAAAACCTTGCCTAAGCAATAAACTTCTTGAAAATTAGAATGGCCCAAATAGAACCCAAGACTCCCTGAAAGAACAAGAAATGGCAAAAGACTAAAAGAAATGGAAGAAAATGTAAGAAATCTCATAACAAAAACAACTGACATAGAAAATAGATTGAGGAGGAAAAAAATCCTTGGATTACTTGAAAACCATAAACAAAACATAAGAGCCTAGACATATTTTGGGAAATCTTAAAAACAAACAAATAACACCCAGATCTCTTAGAAACAAAGGACAAAGTAAAAGAATTCATTAGTTACCTCCAGAAAAAAAATCCTCTAAATGAAAACTCCAAGAAATATTACAGACAAAATGAGAGTTTCCAGGACAAACAAAAAAGACGGCAAGTAGCAAGAACAAAAAGAATTCAAAGGTCCAGAATATCAAGGAAACTAATGAAAAGAAATGCTAGGGAAGGTGGCCTAGCCACACCAGATTTTAAATTGTATTATAAAGCAGCAATCATCAAAACTACTTGGTAATGGCTAAGAAATAGAGTGGTGGATCAGGGGAATAGGTTAGGTACACAAGACACAGTAGTCAATGACTATGGTAATCTGCTGTTTGATAAACCCAAAGACCCCAGCTTCTATAAAAACTCACTATTTAACAAAAACTGCTGGGAAAACTGGAAAATAGTATGGCAGAAACTAGGCATAGACCAAGACCTTACACCATATACCAAAATAAAGTCAAAATGGGTTTAGATATGATTTAGATATAAAGGCTGATACTATAAGCAAACTGGGAGAGCAAGGAATAGTTTACCTGTCAGATTTATGGAGAACAGAAGAATTTATGACCAAACGAGATAGAGAACATTGTGAAATGCAAAATGGGTAATTTTGATTACATTAAATTGAAAAGGTTTTGCAGAAAGCCAATACAACCAAAATGAAGAGGGAAGCAGTAAGGAAGGAATAATATACACACTCAATTGGACATAGAAAGTTATCTTACCCTACAAGAAAATAGGGGGGAAGGGGAGAAGAGATGGGGGGTGATAGAGGGGAGGGCAGATTGGGGGAGGGGGTAATCAGAAGCAAGAAGCAAAAACTTCTGAGGAGGGACAGGGTCAAAAGAGAGAATAAAATAAACAAAGGGGGGCCCGAATAGGATGATGGAAAACATAGTTTTCCACAACATGACTACTATGGCAGGATAGGATGAAGGAAAATATAGTTTTCTATAACATGACTACCATGAAAGTGTTTTGCATGACTACACATATATAACCTGTATTGAGTTGCTTGCCTTCTCAATGAGGGTGGGTGGGGAGGGAGGAAGGGAGAAAATTTGGAACGCAAAGTTTTAAAAACAAATGTTAAAAATTGTTTTCACATGCAACTGGGAAATAAGATATACAGGCAATGAGGTATAGAAATTTTTCTTGCCCTACAGGAAAATAAAAGGGGAAAGGGATAAGGGGGGTGGGGGAGATAGAAGGGAGGGCAGATTAGGGGAAGGGGTATTCAGAATGCACACTATCTTGGGGTGGGGGGAGGGATGAGATGGGGAGAAAATTTGGAACTCAAAATCTTGTGGAAGTGAATGTTGAAAACTAAAATAAATAAATTAATAAAAAAAAGGTTTTAAATAAATTTTAAAAAAAGAGGGAAGTAGAAAACTGGGAGAGAATTTTTATAACCAGTGTCTCTGATAAGGCCTCATTTCTAAAATATATAAAGAACTAAGTCAAATTTATAAGAATACAAATCATTCCCCAATTGACAAATGGTCAAAGGATATGAACAGGCAGTTTTCAGATGAAGGAATTAAGCTATCTATAGTCATATGAAAAAATGCTCTAAATCACTATTGATTAGAGAAATGCAAATCAGGCGACTCTGAGGTACCATATCACACCTATCAGATTGGCTAACATAACAAAACAGGAAAATGATAAATATTGGAGAAGATGTGGGAAAATTGGAACACTAATGCATTGTTGGTGGAGTTGTGAACTGATCCAACCATTCTGGAGAGCAATTTGGGACTATGCCCAAAGAGCTATAAAAATGTATATACTCTTTGACCCAGCAATACCACTTCTAGGGCTATATCCCAAAGAGATCATAAAAATGGGGAAAAGACCCATATGTACAAAAATATTTATAGCAGCTCTTTCTGTGGTGGCAAAGAATTAGAAATTGAGGGGATGCCCATCAATTGGGGAATGGCTGAACAAGTTGTGGTATATGAATATAATGGAATACTATTGTGCTATAAGAAATGATGAGCAAGCAGACTTCAGAAATACCTGGAAAGTCTTGTATGAACTGATGCTGAGTGAAGTGAGCAGAACCAGGAGAACATTGTACACAGTAACAGCCACATTGTGTGATGACTGACTTTGATAGACTTAGCTCTTCTCAGCAATTTAAGGATCTAAGACATCTCCAAAAGTCTCATGATGTAAAATGCTATCCACAACCAGAGAAAGAACTATGGAGTCTGAATGCAGATCGAAGCATACTATTTGCTCTTTTTTTTTTCTGCTTTGTTTCTTCTTTCTTGTGGTTTCTCCTATTGGTTCCAATTCTTCTTTACAACATGACTAATGTGAAAATATGTTTAATAGGAATGTATATTTAGAGACTATATCAGATTGCATGCCATCTTGGGGAGGGAGGGGGGAAAATTTAAAATTCAAAAGCTTATGGAAGTGAATGTTGAAAACTAAAAATAAATAAATTAATTTAAAAAAAAAAGAATTCAAGTACTGAAGAGGTACAGTCAGGCTTACACATGATTTAGAAGCCAGCACATTAAAGGGTGAAGAGCTTGGAATATGATATTTCAGAAGGCAAAGGATATATGCTTGCAGTCAAGAATAACTTGCTTACTCAGAAAACCCAAGTGTAATGCTATAGAGGAAAAAAAGGGACCTTTAATGAAAGAGGACTTCCCTGCATTCCTATTGAAAATACCAGAAAAAAAGGCTTTTAAAATATTTTTTAAAAAAAGAAAGAAAATACCAGAACTAGGAAGAACTGTTTTAGTTCAATCACAGTAGTGAAGAAAAACATAAAAAGGTAAACAGAAATTAAGAATCATAAGAGACTAAACAAGGAGAAACCATGCAGAGATAACATATTTGTTCCCTCTGAGACCAAACATCATCAGGGGTTACAGACTGAGTCTAATTAGACAGAAGGTTTGGCATTAGTTCTGTTAGGCCTTGATGATATTAAAAGAATAGAAAAAGAGGTGAATAAGAATACACTGGGATAGGGAAGAAGGGGGAAGGGGGAATTGGAGGAAAGATGGATTAAGGGAGATTAGTCCTAAACAAATCAATCTTTAACTAAAAGACATACAAGAAAAATTTGTAACTCTTTTTGAAGTGGCAAAGAAAGGAGATCTGAAGGAGTATCTGTCATTTGGGGAATGGCTGAACGAGTTTTAGTATATAAATGTGAAGGAATACTATTGTGCCATAAGAAACGATGAAAGGAATGGTTTCAGAGAAACTTAGGAAGACTGATATGAAGTGATGTAGAGTGAAGTGAACAGAACCAGGAGAAAACAGCAATAATGCAAACACAAACAATTTTGAAAGACTTAGGAATTGTAAACACAATTCCAGCGACTAACAATCAGACATGTTCACCTCCCAACAGAGAGGTGAAGGACCCAAAGCCCAGAATAAGACATATGTGTGTTTTTGGGGGTAGGAGGGAGAAAGGGTAGATTTTTGCTGATTGAAAAAGGGAAATGAAGTTGGCCTGGCATGATCTGATTTTGATCAAGGCTTTTTGTGATTGCTGTTTCCTCTTCTAGATATTCAATAACCATCTTTTTAATAATATGCTTTTGAATTTTTCCAGGAATCGAAGTCACAACCACTAGTCTTTTTGTATTTTCTCTCTCTCCGTCTCTTTGTCTCATCAGGTTATTTGCTCTACTTCACCCTTTCAGTGCCTCTCCTTTTCTCTAAAATCAGCAATCTCACATGTTATTTCTTTCAGTACCTAATTATGTAGTCACGTAGTGACTTGAATTCAAGGGCCACCAGGCTCTCTTTTACTATCTCCCTACTTACTCTGGACTTCCACTGCCCATTACACATTCGAATACATTTTTGTCTAGCTGGAGGTCCCTGGTTCTTATAGTTATGCTTAAAAGAGTGGATATCCCCTCCCTGATATACATCCATACCTCCCTCTAATGATTGCCCCACAAGTCAATACATAAAATCTGGAATGTTAAAATTACTTCCCCCGCCATGATCTACACAAAGTCCTTGATGATTAGGGTTGTCTGAGTCTTATCCTCAAGCTTCTATCTCTTCCCCCTCAGTACACCCCACCTAGTAAATGCCAGATCCCCACGCCTCAACAAGAAGAAGAAGGGGCAGGGCTCACCTGCTCTTGCTGCTGCCTGGCCAGCTCCATCTGTTGCTGCTGCTTCTCAAACAACATGGCAGCCATATTCTTCTGCTCTGAGTGAGCTGTCAGGAGCTGGTCCCGAAGAGTGGACAGCTGATGGATCATGACCAGGAGCTGAAGTTCCTTTTCTGCCAGGCTTTCTTGGGTCCCTGCTCAAACAAGACGCATCTCCTATAATTCCTCATAATACTGTCAGATAGATGGTAAGTCAGACCTGGGTAGATGGTATGCTCCTTCTCAAAGCCAGCCGTTGGGATCTCTTGCCTAATATGGCATCCCAGACTTAGACCAACTTCTCCGGGTCTCATTCCCAAGACATGCATAGTCAGAGGGCTATGATGGTATACAATACCACAAGGAAAGCTGGGTAAATAGGAGAAGGGTGCAAATAGATAGGGCTATGAGCTAGGACCCTAGCTTCATTCACTAATGGTTCGAATAGCCACAGGACTATTGGAAAGGGTGAGTAGCACACCGCTTTACCTGGACCTCTCCTCTACTTTGCTTTCCCTTATAATATATAAATTGTGTACATGTCTTCTAAGGTCCTTGAAAACAGTTTAAGAAATTGGGGAGGGAGTGATGGATTTGGAGTAAAAAAAAAACCTGAGTTCCAATTCTGGCTCTTCTACTCATTATCTGTGTGACCTTGGACATGTCACTTAATTTCTCTGAGCCTTGACTGTTTTCATCTGCAAAATAAATGGGTTAGCCCAGATGACCTTGAAGGTCCATTCCATTTCTAAATCTATGATCCCATGTTATATCTAACTTTGTATCCTTGGTACACAGCAAAGTGCTTGACAAATAGTAACTACTTAATAACTGTCTGGACTGAACTGAATCAAATTAGAGGCAAGTGAAGTAGGAAGAGGCAAAGTCACATAGCAAGTTGGTGACCTAGAATGGGCTAGAATTCAGTTCTCCTGACTCCAAGGTCCTGTGACTCTACTATGTTGCTAATCTGTTAAAAGAATTAAGTCAGTCAATAAGCATTTATTAAGCACTTACTATGTGCGAGGCACTATGCTAAGGAGTAAAGGGCCCAAAGTCAAGTCAGTGGGATCATTGATCCAGAGCTGGAAGGAACCATATAGGGGTTGAAGCCCAGAGAGGTTGCATGGCTTGTACAAGGTAATGAGTGGTAAAGTCTAAGATTTGAACCCAGGTTCTCAGACTCAAAATTCAGTGCTCCTTTCCCTGTAGCACAACTCATGCAAGTTTTCTATCAGAATAATCCAGAGCTATAAGACCATAGGTACATGAAGGGGTCACAGTTGATGATAAGACTGGTGTAAATAGTATCTTTGCAATGGCACAGACTAGGTCAGGCTAGTCCCATGAAAGGACTTACCATCAAAGTGTCACCCTGACCCAGACATTAGAATCCAGGCAAGGGCCTAGATGGGGCTGGCTTTCATTGCTTCTCCTCTGCCATCCCGGCTCTCTTACTTATCTTTATTCTTTCCCTGTCCACTAGGTACTTCCCTACTGTCTACACACATACCCACATCTCCACCATCCTCAAAAGATACTCACTTGATCCATCCACCCCACTATTGTCCCATATCTCTCCACCCTTTTGTGACTAAAGTCCTCGAGAAGGCCCTCAACAATGGGTATCTCCAATTTCTTTCTTCTCACTATCTTCTTAACCCTCCACAATCTGTTTTCCAACTACTTCATTCCATTGAAATTGCTCTCTCCTGAGTTATGAAGGATTTCTTTAATCATAATGGCCTTTTCTCAGTCCTCCTATTTCTTGACCTTCATGAAGCCTTTAACACCATGAATCACCCTCATCATCGTGATACCTGTTTTCTCTCTGTTTTTGTGATACTGCTCCCTCCTGATTCTCCTCTTACCTATCTGACCATTCCTCATTCTCCTTTACTCGATCTTTATCCAGGTCATGCCTGGATAACCATAGGTGTCCCACAAGGCTCTGCCCTGGGCCCTCTTCTCTTCTTCTTCTATATTATTTCACTTCATCATCTCCCATGGATTCAATTCTCATCTCTCTGCTGATGATTCTCAGATCTACCTTTCCAGTCCCGACCTCTCTGCCTACATTCTTTTGTGTGTGTTTGTGTTAATCTTTAAAAATGTATTATTTATTTACATTTAACACTCTTTTATTCATAAATTTGGAGTTCCAAATTTTCTCCCTCCCCTGCCCACTGAGAAGGCAAGCAATATAATATCAATTACACAAAACAAATTTCCATATTAGCCATAGCACATCTACCGATATTCAATCTCACATCTCCAACTGCCTATTAGATATCTTGGACTAGATGTCTTGCAGGCATCTTAAATGTAACCAGTTCAAAACTGAACTCATTATCTTTTCCCCAAAATCATCTCTTGTTCTGAATTTCCCTATTACTATTGAGAGTACCACCATTTTCTCATTCGTCCCCACAAACAAACTGTCATCTTCAACTCCTCAATCTCTCTCACCTCCTCCCCTCTCCCATAACCAAACTATTGCTGAGGCCTCTGTAACATATGACCCCTTCTCTGATACTAGGGTCCTTATCACCTCATGCCTGGACTACCACAATAACTTCTTGGTTGGTCTGAATTTTCACTGGTAATCCCCACCCCCACCCCCATGCCTAGAATGTTCTTCCTCCTCATCTCCACCTCCTAGCTTTCTGGCTTTCTTCAAGTCACCGCTAAAATTCCACCTTTTACAGAAAATCTTTCCAAATCCCTGTTTATTCTAGTGCCTTCCAGGCCAGGGGTGGGGAACCTGCAGCCTCGAGGCCACATGTGGCTCTCTAAGGTCCTCAAGTGTGGCCCTTTGACTGAATCCAAACTTCACAGAACAAACCCCTCTGTGGATTATTTCTAATTTATCCTGTACATAATTTGTATGAGTTATTTGCATAGTGCCTCCCCATTAGACTAGTGGGCATAACTGAGCTCCTTGAAAACAGAGATTATTTTTTATCTTTGTTTTGTAAACCTGGTGCCTGGCACATAGTAGGTACTTTATAAATATCTGACTGAATGACTCTGGGTATTCCCCCAGGTCTTATCATTCTTCCTGTTGCTGGGTCAGAATCTTTAGGTCTTTACGCTGTCATAACTTCCGTTCCCCTGGCCCACCAACTGAGGAAGATGGCACAGACACTCAGCCTCACGTCCACACATACCACCTCCATACCCACCATTCACTCTCTGCCTAGATGTAGGATCCTCACCTTTGACATCTTTGGTTTCCACAATGCTTCTTCCCAGAAGCCTCTCTCTCCAGTCACTGGACAGAAGCTTCTCAATGGTGGGTATAACTGAAAGATACCAAGAGATAACAAATGACCTTTCCCAACAGCTCCCATTACTAATCCTGGGCACCCAAGGAAACCCACTTCTATCCTTCTTGGAGACCTTACCTTCTTTCAAATTCCGATTGAAATCCAGCTTTTCTTGGCTTCCAGTGGCTGGCTCAGGCCCTGATCTCCTAGGTTCTGGTGGCACATCACTCTTTGGGGACCCGCAGTCCTGTAATACAATCCATCCCAAATTGTCATTATGTGGCCAGCTGTTACACAGACACAGACACCCAGAGGAAAGACGAGCCTTCAGCAAAGGCAAAGTGTTTTTTGTTTTTCTCGTTTTGGTTTTTTTTTTTTGGTTTTTTGTTTTTTGTTTTTGGAGAAGTAGAAGAAATGAGGCTGAGCTTTAGATAATTTGAGCTATAATAGCTACCACATATGCCTTTCTTACATGGGATTTCCAAGCTCCCTAACATGTAAGAAACAATCTCCACTCTACATTTTAGCTAAAGTCAAAGACACTTTATTCAAGTCACAAGCAATTGCAGGGAGAGACACCAACAGTTTCCTCTCAGTCAGGTGGGTTCTGCTTAAAGCAACTGACAGTAAAATAAAAGATAAAGAAATACAGCCAGTTTAATCCTATCTAGACTCCATTCTCCCTTGGCTACGTGGTCCAGGTCCCAGGCGTTCTGTTCACCCCAGCTTACTGGCCATTCCCATCCAGATCTTCCTTAGACCCCTCCTCCAGTCACCCCAAACTACTTGGTCACTCCTAGATCCCTCCCACAGTCTTTCTGTATATAAGGTTCATCTTGTCTCCATTAAAGTGCTCAGATTCTTAAAATCTAGCCACTGCTCAGGTTCCTTAAGAACCTAGCCAAAAGCTCACAAATGTTCAGATTCCTTAAGAATCTGGCCAATACAGGGGCAGCTAGGTGGCGCAGCGGATAGAGCACCGGCCCTGAAGTCAGGAGGACCTGAGTTCAAATCTGGCCTCAGACCAAACACTTGACACGTACTAGCTGTGTGACCTTGGGCAAGTCACTTAACCCCAATTGTCTCACTAGGAAAAAAAAAAAAAGAATCTGGCCAATATGGCAGATGTTCTAATAAACCTTGTCTCTGGCTGAAAGAAAAAAAAAAGAAACACAGCCAGAGAAAAGAACAAGGTTTTCAGTTTTCAGCTATGCTTTCATAGTATTTGACAAGGAAATGGGGACAACACGGACACACCCTCAGAAACACCTGGTCAGTGGTTCTGGCTCACGAAGAAGCCATGGCACATCCCTAACCCTCTGTCTCCTACAAGGAACCTTAGGTCCAGAGCTCGAAGGGCCTTGGAGCCCACCCAGTTTAACATTCTCATTTTAAAAAGGAAGAAACCAAGGCCCGGGGAGATTAAGTGATTTGTCCGAGGTCACAGAGAGAATAAACATCGGAGGCGAGATCTGAATTCAGGTCCTGTCTCCAGAACCAGTCATACCACGCAAACTCCTAGGAAACTTGGGAGAACTTGTTGTCTAACGATCCTGCCCTCACAGGGCTGAGATGACAGCTGCAACCACAGCCTCTAGGCTCTTTCTACCCCATTCACCCTTTCAATCCAGCCAGGTCAGGCTCTTCACCGGCCCCTTCCACGGGCCGGGCCCGAAGTTGGCTCTCACTGTTCTCCCCTGAGAAAGAGCCCCCCTTCTTCCTGATGATCATCTGAGTCCAGCCCAGCTTTCTGAGCCCTCCTCCAATCCCCACCTCTTCCATGAAGCCTCCTCTGACCACACCAGCCTGGAAGGGTCTCTCCCTCCTCCCCCCTCTCACAGCAATTGTTGTCCGTTCCCTTCATCTGGCTCTTTAATCACAAGCCTTGTGACATCTTTTGAACAGAATCATAGAATATTTTAGAACTGCAAGGAACCTTAGAGAGTTTCTAGTCCACACCCGTCATTTCATGGAGAAAGAAAATGCATTGTTGTCTTAGTAAGACTGATTTCCAACAGTCACATGGGAAAGAATTCTCATTACGACACACCTCGTTAGATGTTCACATGTACCTGCCTTGTTTCTCCAACCTGACCCTAACAAGACAGAGGCAGCGTGGTACGGTGGAAAGATTGTTGGCTGTGGAGTCCGAGGGCCTGGGTTCAAATTACTACTTATATCACTTTGGGAGTCTTAATCTATCAGTGCCCTCACCTAGAAAATGTGGAGGTTGGTCCAGACAGCCTGAGGTCCCTCTTGCTTCAGTTCTAGGGCACCAAGAAGCACTGACCACATGCTGAGAAGTGTTGTATTTCCTACTCTCTTCCAGTGACAGGCATACCGAGTATGCTGAATGAATGAATGAATGCCATGTCCCTGGTAGGGACGTGACCAAAAAGCAATAATAACAATTCACATTTATATGAGCACTTTAAGGTTTATACCTCTTTCCCTATAGGAAGCCTGTGAAACAGAAAGTATAAATGTCATTATACCCATTTTATAGACTAGTTTTTCCTAATTTTGTATGGTGAAATCAAGTGGCCTGAACTCTGGGTCAAGACCAAACCCAGGAAGAATCAGTGGGTTGTGATGCAAAAAGCACTAGAAATACATTCAAAGGATCTGGGTTCAAGCCTCAACTCTGCAACTTCTTCTGTGACCTGGAGTGACTTACGTCAGCTCTCCGGGCCTCAGTTTTCTAACATGTGAAATGATGGGACTGGATCTCTAATGCCCCTTTCTAGCTATAGAACCCAAGTCCTACCACCTAAAGACAGCCATCTCTATCTGAATGATGAGATGGTTTGCCAAGTGGGGAAGGGCCATTGCCCTGGCCTGAGATTCCAGCTGAGCATGATGCTCTAAAGACAGAAAGAGGGAAACTGAGACTGGGGCAATTTAAGGGTAATCAGGTCACCTGGGGTGGGCCACTTGAGTCAGCTCCTTCCTGGGGTGCCCGGGCTGGGTCTCCAGTCAAGGGCTCCACAGCAGGGGCTGGCACCTGCTGGCTGGATGGGGCCTCCTGGCATATCTCCTTCTTTTCTTCTGCCTTGACAATGCAGTTCACCATGGTCCCAATGCCATCGGGTGCCAGCTGGGGCGAGATGGGGCTCCTCATGGACATCCTGCCAAAGAAAGGAAAGGAAAAATCTGAATGAGACTCATCTAAATTTAGAAGCCCGATATCACAACCAGTTTCCCCAACTTCTAACATACCACATATGGGCATCCAGTGTCAGACGTTTAAATTTGGTTTTCTATACAAAAAGATAAGAAAGGGCAGATGCCTACATACAAACTTTTCAATATTGGGACCTCTGGGGAGAGGGAAGGGAAGGGTTAAAATAAGCATTTTTAAAAAAAAAAAAATATATATATACACATACATGCACATATACATAGAGAGAATACCTACTATGTGCCAGGCAGTGTTCTAAGTGCTTTAAAAATATTATCTCATTTAATCCTTACAACAACCCAGTGAGATAATAATGATGATAATAATAGTGATGAGAGCTAATATTTGTATAGCACCTACTATGTGCCAGTCACTATACTAAGCACTTTACAAATATTATCTCATTTAATCCTCACAACAACCCTGGAAGGTAATATGATAACAATAATAATAATGAGAGCTAACATTTGTATGGTACCTACTATGTGTTGGTCACTATACTAAGCACTTTACAAATACCATCTCATTTAATCCTCATAACAATCCTGGAAGGTAATATAATAACAATAATAATAATGAGAGCTAACATTTGTATAGCACCTACTTTGTGCCAGGCACTACACTAAGCACTTTATAAATATTATCTCATTTAATCCTCACAAAACCCTGGAAAGCTATATAACAACAATAATGAGAGCTAATATTTGTATAGCACCTATTATGTGTCAGTCACTACACTAAGCACTTTACAATTATTATCTCATTTGATCCCCACAACAACCCTGAGAGGTAGGTGCTATTATTATCCCCATTTTACAAATGAGGAAACTGAGGCAAACAGAGGTTAAATGATTTGCCCTAACTCACGCAAGGGTCTGAGTCTGCATTTGAACTCAAGTCTTTCTGACTCAGACCTAATGCTCTATTCACTGTGCCTCCTCACTGGTATTTCTCTTTCTGGATAAACTAGTTTATGAAAATTGAGGATAATCTTAGCTAATGACTCCTTATCAACTTAATCTCCAATGCTTTGGTTTGGCTTAGTAGAAAGAACACTGGTTTTGTAAACAAAAAATTTAGGTTTGAATAGTAATTGTAAAGCTCTTAGCAAAGCTCCTGGCACATAGTAGACATTTCATAAATGCTTATCCCCTCTCTCCCCTTAATTAGGAAAAAGAATGTCAAAGGTACAAAGGACCATCTAATCCACTACCCTTACTTTACACATGAGGAAACTGAGGCAAAGAGGAAGTCAAATGACTTGTCCAAAGTACGGATAAGTAACAGAAGAGATTGAACTTGAAATCTGGTGCTCCTTAACCAGCATCATGATATCTCCCTACCTGTCACATAACGCCTCAGTTTCTCCATTTCTAAAATGAGGAGACTGGATTCTAGTGAGGAAATTGTTCTGGTATCCTCAAGACCTTTCAGAGGATCCTTGAAGTCAAGACTTTTTTTATAATAATAATAATACTGAGACGTTACTTGCCTATTAAAAATACTTTCCCTTTCCCAACCACCTATCTGTATGCTGTTGGATTTTTCTTCCTTCAACCAAAACAATATATTGCAACAGACTAAATACAGAAGCATTTAGACAATCCAACTCCCTTCTATTAAGCCAGACATTAAAAGAGATTTGCAAAACTATGTAAAACAATGTCATCTTTTTAACTAATACTTTTTCATTTTGGAAAATGTATTTATTTTATGAAAATGTTACTGATGTTTGATATGTGTTGGGTCTATTATTTTCAAATGAATTCATAGTTTAAAAATTATCAGCTTTAGTTTCAAATGTAGCAAATATTAATAGATAATGGGCAGCTAGGTGGCGTAGAGGATAGAGCACTGGGCCTGAAATCAGAAAGACTCATCTTCCAGAGTTCAAATCTGACCTCAGACAATTACTAGCCATGTGGCCGCAGCCAAATCACTTAACCCTGTCTGCCTCAGTTTCCTCATCTGTAAAAGGAGCTGGAGAAGGAAATGGCAAGCCACTCCAGTATCCTTGCCAAGAAAATCCCAAATGGGGTCATGATGAGTGGTATACAACTGCAACAACTGAACAACAATGACAACAAATTGATAGATTTAACTCACAAAAGCAAAAGATCTTTAGGAAATCCTCAACGCTTTTTTTTTCTCCTTAGAGGCAATCTGGGTAAAGTGACTTACCCAGGGTCACACAGCTAGTAAGTGTCTGAGGCGGAACTTGAACTCCGGTCCTCCTATCTGTAAGACCAGTGCTTTATTCACTGGCCTGATCCTCAATAATTTTTTGAGAATGTCAAGGGATTCTGAGAGCAAAGAGTTTGAAAACTTCTGGGTTAGATGATTTCTAAGATTCCTCTGACTCCGATAATACCATGACCCCCTTTTCCTAGCTAACATTTCTCTACCATTAGCTTGAACAATGACTGGCCCTACTGAGGTAACTTCTGTGATGGATAGAGTGTCTTAATTCATATAATCCTGACTCTTATTAGCTGTGTGACCATGGGCAGATCACCTAACCTCTCTGTACTTCAGTTTCCTCACCCATAAAATGGGGATAAATAATACTCGTAAATACCTACCTCATGGGGGTTGTAGTGATGCTCAAATAACATGTTTAAAACTATACAAAGTTCAAAATTTTGAAACACTATGTAAAGATTAGCTACAGTAACGTTATAGGTTTTCTCCAGGACTAGGTTCAAAGACGCTACTGTCAGGTAAATGCCCCTGCTGCTCTCTGTCTCCTCTACAAACTCCAGAAATCTAGTTAGTTAGAGGGCCACAGTAGCAGGTCAGATGCGACTTCTGTTTGGCATTCAAAGCCCTTCCGAAGGCAGGCCCCTGTTCCACCCTATACCTGTTCAGTCCTTTTACACCCCACAGCCCTCTAAGAATGCTTTTATTTAGGGACACCGACCTTCTTTCCGTTCCTCAAAATGGCATTCCCATCTCCCATCTTTTCATCGGCATCCCCCATGCCTGGAATGCTCTCCCTCCCAACTTCTCTGGCTTCTTAAGTCCCAGCTAAAATCCCATCTTCCATAGGTGAGATTCCCCAATCCCTCTTCATTCTGGTGCCTAGCTTCTGTTAATTATTTCCTATTTGTCCTGTATATAGCTTATTTGTACTTATTCATTTGCTTGTCTCCCCAATTAGATTGTGAGTTCCTCTAGGGCAGGGACTGTCTTTTTTGCCTTTCTTTGTATTCCCAACGCTTATCACAACAGCTGGCACCTGGTAGGCACTTAATGCTTATTGACTGACTGACTGACTGACTGATCTAGGCCTGACTGTTCTGCCCACCCATATTCTATCCCAGCAAAACCAAAGAGGAGAGGTATGACATGGCAGGTTTGGGAAGGCCAGGGGACCCAAGGCCCATGCTCACTCAGGTGGACCAAGGGGGGCACACATATGGGCACTTGTCCTCCTCCCCCAGAACCAGCAGCAGTGAATGGAACCCAGAAGCCCCCCACCCCCTAACTTTTTTTCCTACCCCCACCCCCACCCCAGGGGCCCTTAGTGACTCCAGGAAGCTATGAGGCCTCTGCCCATCCGGCAGGAGGGGAGCCCCCGCCCCCCTGAGCCAGCCAGCCAGCCAGGCCCCTGGGGGTGGGGGAAGGACTGCAAGGCTGGGGGTGGGTAGGGGGGGGAGTGGAGGGTGTAGGGGGAGGCCGGGGGAAGGGGGTGTTCTCCTGAAGCTCAGGGCAGTAATTACATAACAAACAAACCCCAGGCTCAAGCTGTGAATTAATCAAACCGCTGAAAATAAAACCTTCCTCTCAGGAACTTCAGACAAAAGAAACGAAAACAACCGGGCTGGCTGGGAAATGAAAAGGCAGCGGGCGCTGAAAGGGGGACAAAAGGAAATCAGACAATAGGGTGTTGGACAAAAGCAATAAAGCCAGGGGAAGTGTGACAGGAGAACAATGGGGGCCTGTGTGTTTCTGATCCGAGCCTGGGGCTTTTTATCTCCAGTGCCGGCCCTCTTCCAAACCCACCACTTGGCTCTCTGGGTGATTGGGTTTCCTCCTTTCTTAGGGGCTTGGCCTCGGTTTTTCCCCAGCTCTGGTGTGTCTCCCCACCCCCCCAAACCCCAGCCAGTCTCTGGCTCTCCCTCCTCCTCTCTCCCAGTCAGTGGCTTCTTCCTTCTTCTCCTGTCATGTGGGACCCAGCAGGTCCAGTTATGAGGTGATGGGGACCCCTCCCCGACAGACACACAAACATACACACAAACATACAAACATACACACAAACACACACACACACACACACACACACACACACACAACTGCTTTCCAACTTCAACACTAAAATCCATGGCCCTTCTGTGGGAGGGCTTAGTGCAGGGTTGGGGAACCCGCAGCCTTAAGGCCACTTGTGGCCCTCTAGGTCCTCAAGTACGGTACTTTGCCGGAATACAAACTTCACTATGAAGGGCTGCACTTGAGGACTTAGAGAGCCACATGTGGCCTCAAGGCCGCAGGTTCCCCACCCCTAACTTAGGGCATGAGAAACCTTTGAGTCTCTGTATCCTCGGATGGAGAAGCTGTTTATATATTCTGCAGTAGAAAGAGCATTCGGGTTCCAATCCTGATTCTGCCACCAGTTGACTTGGGCAAATCATCTCCTATCCCTGGGCTTCCTCTTCAGTAAGAAAACAGGAGTTGAACCAGGTGATTCCTAAGGTCCTTTAGCTCTGACATGCTGTATTATTCTATAATTTTCAAAGTTGTGTTTGTTTGTCAAGGGGTTACCCTGAATTTCCTAGGAAAGCACTGACCATCTTGGCCTTCTTGCCCTGTTGAGTCCTAGAATACTTGGGAACTCGTGAACTTTAGAACCCTAGGAGTAATGGTGGCCAGTCCAACCAAACAGGCATTTATTAAACGCTACATGCAAGGTAGTGTGGTAGACTCTGAGGATATGAAGCTAGAAACCAT